GTCACACTGCCCTCACAGCCTCAGTCTCTTGGCTCAGGTGTGCCCACTTATACATGTTCAGCCATACTCCAGGTGTCCACCACCAGGCATGCATACCCCGAGCCCAAGCTCCCAAGTGCCTCCTGCATTCAAGGCCACAGGTGATAGCCACAGAGGCCAATGGCGCAAAAGCCTGCACAATCTTCATCTCCTCTACAGGTGTCTTGTCTCATTCCAAGAGCCTGGCCTGCAAGAATTCCTGAGCTTGAATTCTTTAAAACTTGCCTAATTTAAGGCTTGACCTAAAATTATAGGATATGTTTCTGCTTACCAGCTAGTACTTGCTCCCCTGTGGCAACAGCATAAGCACAATTCAGCCCACTGACTTTGACACAGTTTTATTAACTCGAAGTCATTTATATTGTTTCCATTTCACACAAATAGAGACTCTGCTGACTAGTTTTTTAAGAATGAACCTTGGCGGCAGTCTTGCTCAAATAGGACTCTAGGACTCATCCATTGTTTGTTCTGAGTTGATGAGAGTTCCAGGAACCTAGAGATAGAAGGATCACAAAGAAGGTAGTTTGAAAGCAACCCCAGCATTTCCTCCATCCCCTGTTGGGGTGGCGTCCACCTCAACAAACACTTGTTGAGTACTTGTTTGGAGTCAGGCACCCCCAAGCATTCACATTCCAGTGCCCTCTTAAATGCACATTTGGGCAACACATGCATTTAATTGACCACCTATTATGTGCTAAGTCCTATGATCTGAAGATTTAAATATTTTCTATCCTCGGTGTTTATAACCCAAATCTTGCTGAGTTTCAATCTGCCGCTCCCATTTCCCAATTGATTGACATAACCTTCCTGTGTCTCAGTTGCCTTCTCCATAAATTGGCGATTATTAAGTAACCACCTCTCTGGGTGGCTAGGAGGACTCAGTGACTTAAAGTGTGAGTGGTGCTGGCTGGAATTCTGTGAGCATGCAACCTGTACTAAGTATGGTTACTTTCAGAGGCCACTGTTGGGTAACTTGTGAAACTTCTGCCTTTGTATGAAGGACCCAGCCTTGTCTTTTTTTTAAAATATTTTATTTTATGTAATTCTTACATCATTTTTCATTTTTGCACAGCATGCATTCTCATTTTGGTTATATTCCCCATACAATCCCCACCCCCCTTATTTTGGCCTAATCCCTCCTCTCCCCTGCCCCCCATTAGTGTATCTCTGGTTTATTGTTGCTTGTTGATTTTGATTTTTTCTTTATTATAATTAGTCTTTTCCCTGGTCCCTTATTTGGGTTTTCTAAATTCCTGCTATGAGTGAAACCATCTGATCTTTTTCTTTTTCTTTCTGGCTTATTTTGCTGAGCATGATCCCTTCCAACTCCATCCATGTTGCTGCAAATTGCATGAGTTTATCTTTTTTGATTGCTGAGTAATATTCCATTGTGTATATATACCACATCTTCTTGATCCAGTCATCTATTTTAGGGCATTTGGGTTGTTTCCAAAGCTTAGCTATTGTAAATAGTGCTGCTATAAACATAGGGTGCAGGTGCCCTTTGGAATTAATGTTTTTGTGTCCTTTGGGTAAATACCTAGGAGTGGAATTGCTGGATCATATGGAAGCTCTATCTTTAGTAGGCTGAGGAATCTCCACACAGCTTTCCAGCCTTGCCTTTGGGTTGTAGGAGAGAGGAGGGTCAGGTCAGTTTTTCTTGACAGGGGAGTAGCTAACTCCCCAGGCATATGTCTACCCAGGCCTTCTGACCTTGGCACAGACTCCTAGCCTTATGCTTCCCGATTAGCCAAGCCTGCTCTAGCCCTGCCAATCAGAAATGATGTCTGGGTTGGAGCCATGAGATTGCCACACCAGATGTAGGAAACATCCTCTGTCTGTGGATCTCCAAGGATAACCTGTGGAGGGGAGATGGGGGGAAATAGGGGCCCCACATGACCCAGTGTAACATTTCCTGAGGCTCATATGTGGAAAAGATTTAGACAGCCTGTACCTTAACCAAGATGTTTAGCTGACTGCCAGGTGAGACGAGTCCCCATCTATCAATATTGGGCATGCAAAGCCCCCCACACCAGGGGGGATGGATGATAGTTTGCCTTTAAAAAAAGATCAATGTAGTAGTTACTTGAACCAGACATTATTTGGCAGATGGTAAATTTTAACTGGTATCAGCTAATATTACTGGACTCACTTTACAGATAAGGAAGCTGAGTCAGAGAGGTTTAATCGCGGAGAGAGTAAAGGGCCATACAGATAGGATCGGTGGGGTCAGGTAACTCTGCTCTGCTTCCTCTTAGGAGAGGAATGACCTTCAGTGTACTCTGGACTTATTGATTTACTATCAAATAAAAAACAAATCCAGAGTTGATAAGGAGATATTTCATTCAAAAGGATTATTAATTACAAGGCAAGGGGTGGGAATATTGCAATAAGGGGCACACTAACTATAAGATCTGCAAGTGTGTCAAGAAAGAGACAAAAAGATGTTTTTCTAGGGGGTTGTAAGCAAGGAAGACCTAGGTGAGGGGAAAAAGTGGGTGAACACTGCTGATAACAGAAGAGAGGTTTACTCTAACTATACCCTAACTCAGCCTGTAGTATGGAGGTATGTTTGCTGATAGTGCCCAGGACATGGGACAGGAGATAATCTACCCCAAAGGGTGCTTACCAAGCACCTGGTCCAGTGACTCATGGGGACAAACAATTCACTTAATCATTTATCTAACAAAGATTGGGCATTTGGAGGGGCTGGGTCTGACCCTGTCCTAGGGAACCAGGGTACTTCAGGAAGTGGTTGGGATAGGGTCTTCTTTACGGTACAGAGTGGGGACTTTTGTAATCTTGGGCTGTTTTCCAGGATCCCAGGGCTCTGTAAAGTTCAACTTGTCATTGCTCCTTTGTGCATAATGTCTACTCTGTGCCAGACTTGTCCTGCCAACTTTCTGAAGAAAGTCAGATCCTGGATTTCTGGCATGAAAGTTGACAATGTTTGAAGGATATTCTCTACTCAGAGAAAATTCGGTGGGGATCAGAGGGTGTCCTCCTGGCTCTACCTGCCACATGGGCCTCTTTCATGTAGTAGCATACAGTTTTGGAGATTCATCCTGGCGATCACAAGGACAGGAACTTCATTCCTTTCTATGGCTGAATAATTGTTCATTGTATGTGCACACACTACATTTTGCTTGTCCATTCATCAACAGATAAACACTGGGTTTGTTTCCAAATATCCTTAGGGCTTTTGTGAATAATGCTGCTGTGAACATTTGTGCACAGGCTTTGTGTGGACATATGTTTCCATTTTTCTCAGGTAGATGCCCAGGGGCAGTGTTTCTGGATCTTTTGGTGACTCAAAGAAAATGCCAGTCTCCTTTCCAAAGCAGCCATAAATAGTTTTAGTGTTCATAATAAGGGAAAAAAGATGGAGCTTAGGCAAGGCACTCAAACTAATTTGAGTTTGAGTTATTCTGTGGATGTAGGGTGTCTTCAGGTATCCATGAGAAGGAGATAAATAACTTGGTTTTTCAGAAGCCAAGAAGACCACTGCTCTGCTTCTGTGACCCTGTCTGATCCTGAGACTAGTCTCCTATTTGCTGCTTTGGCTCTTAACTCTTCAGAAGGGCTCACCCTTTTTTCCTATCCACTTGATAGTGGCAGCCAACAATTCCCCTTCATCTTCCTCCCACCTATCCGCCCTGACCCCACCCCACTAACTCTGAGTTTAATTTCTTCCTGGTCAAACACTGATGGCCATTGTTTCCAAGAGGGAAAAGCTGGCTGACCTTGTTCTAAGTTTGTCCATGAGCCAGGGCTAGGGTAACACAGGATGATTATAATCTTAAGGATTATAATCCCCATAATCCCCTTGTGAAGAAGGGGCAGCTCTCAGTATCATGGGTGGGACACACACATAAGTGCTGACCACATAAAAATGTGAGGTGGAAGGCCAGAGAAGGGCTGGCAAGAGTGCTAAGGTAATGGTCCCACCTGCATCTGGGGACTTTAGGTTCAAAGGTGTTGAAAGCTTTGGGCAGCAAAGCTTGGGCAGCAGGTCCAGGAAGGTGGGTGAAACTTTCTCGCTTTCTTGGGACATGCCCTGGTCTGGTGTTTATGTGCCACATGGAGCCCACGACATAGGTTTTGTCTCTGCACCACAGAATGATTCTCTCTGCTGAGGGGATATGGTGCCATCCAGTATGACACACATCTGTCAGGGGAACTGGGAGCTTTAGAAACCAAGGCCCCAGTATATCTGACTGTGCCTACCACTGAGCACCAGGAGCAGAGGGTGGGGTGCCTCAGGGATGGGAGACCCCACTGTGAACAACTGATCTCACAGTGTGACTGATCTCAGGCTCCTGGCCCACTCCCCACTCCAATCTTGTTCTACGTTAGTTATTCTCCACAAGAGAATCATTCAGGCTCCGCTTCCCCATGCTTCCTTTCTCTGCTTAGGTAGATAAAGGAGAAGGTGGCTGGTCTAGGGTGATGAAGAGCCGTGGACTTGGATTTAGGATCTGGCAGAGTCTGAGTCCATGCCTGCTATCTCTGGGATTCATTTTCAGTTTCCTCGCCAATACAATGGGAGTGACAACCTAGATAGCAGATATTTGCACTGTGTGCATCTCCAAAGAGCAAGACTGAGTTTGTAGTGAATGTTTTACTGAAGATGTTATAGAGGTTGGTTACATCACCTAGCAGAAAGGAATGAAAATGTTCCCCCTGGTGTATTGGTTTTCGTTCCTGTGTTCCTTGGCTGTTCCTTGGAGTATCAGCCTTCCAGGTATGCCTTCACCCCAAATTCTACTTCACCTTTTTTTTTAATATATAGAAAAAATTTCTCTGTTTTGGCTTGTCTGCCGATATCTCACTTAGCAAATAAAGAAGTGTCAAGGCTCATTGTCTCCAAGAACATGGATAATCACCAATAAATAGCAAACATTGTTTCTTCATAAAATCCTTTCTCCCTTCACTTGGCTTAAGCTCCTTTTGTATTGCAGGAAGCGATTCCGGGATTGGCCATGCCTTGTGCAAGCATCTGGACCAGCTGGGTTTCACTGTATTTGCTGGAGTTCTGAATGCACAGGGCTCAGGAGCAGAAGAATTGCGGAGAACCTGCTCCAAGCACCTCACCGTGCTCCAGCTGGACATCACTGTCCCAGAGCAGATAAAAGATGCCTACAGCAAAGTGGTGGAGAAGGTGCAGAACAAAGGTACTGCCTGCGGTAACCACCAAAGCCCAGATTGCTCTTCACCCACCTCACCAGCTCCCTCCTCACCACCACCCTCTGGTTCCAGCTGGTAATTACCCGCCCCCTGCGCCCCTCAGTTCCTTGCAAGAGGCCTGAGCTGAGTGGCTAGAGGAGCAAGAATCAGGCCTGGGGCCTCCCTTATGGTGCAGGCAGTTGAGCACAGCTCTGTCCGCAGCCTCTGCAGCACAGGTTCAATTCCCAGCTAGCCAGGGAGATACCCACATGGCGCGGCAGACCTCTCCTGTCTTGCCTACTGCTCCCCTCAGCAGTGTTTTCAGTCCATCTGCCTGTTCTGCTCTCTACTCTGTCTCTGGTGAATTCTCTCACCCTCCTGCACATCTGTCCTGTACCCCTGTTCTTGTATGCATGAATAAATAAATCTTAAAAAAAAAAAAAGAATCAGGCCTGGGCCACGCTCCCACTTCTTATTATCTGCCCCTTCCTCATTTTTTCCCTTTCATGGATAGACTTAAAAATAGCCTCTGAATCACCGACCACCCTCAGCCATTGCCCTGTCCCTTCCCCTTCCTTTGTGGCCCAGTGCTTTGGATTTGGAACTCAGCTGCGCCCTATCAATCTGATGTTAGTTCTCACCAGGTCTCCTTGACTAGTCTGGCCCCCATTGTTGATATCCCAAACACCAAGCTCTTGACCGCTCTGCAGTATTTATTACATGTGTTAACCACCCTCCCCTGCATTGGGGTTTCCCTGCATCTCTGATCATTCTTTCTGCTGGTCCCATGTGAACCTCCATCCATTCTGTGGATGTCTTAGGTACTTCCTGCTTATTCTTTTTTTACAACAGAGATCTCAGCACTAAGAAAGAAATGTTTTCTGCTTCATTTGATAGTCCGAGGAGTAGGATTATAGAGAGAACACTTAGAATGAGTCCTGGGCAGTCAGCAAGCATTCAGCAAGGGCTCCTATTTTCCATTCATCCAACATTAAGCCTGGCGCCTGGGCATGTAGTACGTATGCAATCAACACTCACAGGTAAGAGGAGGAGAGATAAATAGATCGTGGTTTATCTGGAATTCATTTTAACAAGTTGGGTAACGGGCCAGCATTTACAGGAATAGTTTTCCTCCCCTGGTCTTTGCCGTCTGAGAGGGCTGAGCTTGTGCCTCCTATGAGCCTGACTTCATGGCGTCTCATTAGGGGAGACCTCAGTACAAACCTCTTGAGCAAGGTACAGAAGGGTCTATCAACCCTTGATAAAGGAATAGTTTCTAGAGACAGAGAGACCATGCTAGTCTCCTGTGATGAAGGAGTGTGCTTGACAGACCATGTACATGCCTTAGCATCATATCACCCCTCTGATTTGGGGCCAACATTTTAGAAGGAAGAAGACTTCCTGGGAAGGAACCAAAACGTGTTCCTATTCTTTTCAAAAGCTCTCTCAACCTAGTCTCTCTAAGATGAAGTGGAGCAGTGAAATAGGGGAGTTCACAATTGCCAATAAACCAGAAAGCCTCAGCTCCTGGAACAGGGCCAGCAATTGTGCAGTGCTTCTATAAAGTATATTATTTAGAATGAGCATATTGTTAATTATGAATTAATATCAACTACTTCCAATTACCTAAGTATTACCTAATGCCTTTTACCTAAGTCCATTATGATGGGCCAGCACATTGACAGGTCACAGGTGAGCTCAGGCCAAGTGAATGGAAACCATCCGTTGCTATAAAGAAGACATCCTCTCCACACTCACTATCCTCCTTATAACAGCTGTCCAGCTCCCATCAGGAGCACGCATCATCTCACTTAATGTTTTAAATCATTATTGTGTGTAAATGTCAGAGCACCAACTCAAGTGTGCAGAAATGTAGCTTTATTTTCTAGAACTCAACTCAGTTTCTATTTAGAACCTTCTTTAAAAAGAAGGTGGGATTGACATTCACTGGCAGCATCTATATATCTGGGTATGGGACATTTGGTCTTTGACCACCAATGCTTCATGCTGGCCCACTGGGATGTCCAACACTGGTCCCGTGTGGGTTGTGTATGCTACCTCCTGAAAGCCTGCAGAGGCTCTGTTAGGGCTGATGTCTCAAGCTGTTTCCACCTGCTAGCCGTGAGGCTGTACAAACTGCTCCTGTATCAACATACATTCATATAAAAACACCACACCACAGATCCTCATGCCAGAGTGTGCCTTTGGAGGGCAGTTTATATCCCTGATACTGAGCTTCAACAACAATTTTTGTTTTTGTTTTTCTTTTTAAGATTTATTTATTTATGCATACAAGAACTGGGGTATAAGCCAGAGGTTTGGGTGGTGAGAGGATTCACCAGAGAGAGTGGGGAGCAGAACAGACAGATGTACTGAAATACGCTGCTGAGGGGAACAGCAGGTGGGGCAGGAGAGGTCTGCTGCGCTGTGTGGATTGCTCTCTGGCCAGCCAGGTATCAAACTTGTAATGCAGTGGCTGGAAGTAGCTTGATAGCGCTGTCTTTAATCCCTGTGACACCATGGAGGCCCTTCAACAAGATTTTTTGATCCAGCAGGTCAGAGGTAGGGTTTCAGAATTTGCATAACTAACAAGTTGATGCTGATACTGTTGATTGTGTACAACACCTTGAGAACCTCTGTTCTAAAGTGCCAGAATCTTGGGGTTACTCCAGGCATCTGCTTCAGGCTTGTCTAGGGAAAAATACCCTGGGTCCTGTTATCACTGTCTTTCCCAAGTAAAGAGGACCTAGGATTTCCCTCTGCCCCATCCCTTTCCCTCAAAACATCTGGAATTTGGGATCACCTCTTTCCTACCATTTAAAGTGGTGATACCCAAGCCTGATTATATGTTGGCACCATCTGGGAAATTTAAAAAAAACTAAAAATACCAAGGTGCCCTCCCCTACTCCTTTCCCATCCCAGGTTCTGATTTAATAGGCCGGGATGTGGTCTGGCTGTAGAGGTTTTAAATTCCTCCCTCCCCCCGCCCCCACACCCCTACCACCTAGTTGATGCTAATATTCAATCAAAGTTGAAAAGAATAGCCTGTGCGCAATGGTTCTGCCATGTGGCTCACATCTACAGCTTCGGCATCACTTGAGAACTTATTAGAAATGCAGATTCACAGGTCTACTCCAGACACACCAAACCAGATTCTCTGGCATCTGGGGCCCAGTGATCTGTGTTTGAACAAGCCTTCCTGGTGAATTGGATGCAAACAAGGGGGCAAGGGGTCTTGGTGCCTCCTCTCTTATTTTCCTGCTTCCCAGGACTCATACCCCTTCTAGTGTAGGGAGCAGGGAAGATGGGATCTTGTCACCCTGCATTATCCTCCGTGCAACTTTGAGGAGAGAGATTCTTATTACCCTTGTCTTTTTTGGTCTTTCCTTCCCAAACATAGCAAATACCTAGCCACCTGGATGTAGGAAAGGGCTGTGCAGCCAAAGAGAACACCACCCCAGAATATAGCCTAATATTTCACAAATGCACTCTCCACACCACCTCCTAAGGTAGTGGTTTTAGGTATTTAAGGAGACTGAGGTTCAAGAATTTTAGTCTTCTGCTGGAACCTAAATCTCTAAGGGGCTGTCTGATTGCAGATGTGATGTGCTGGTAAAAGTCCTCCTAATCTCCTTTCTGTCCTCAGGTCTGTGGGCTGTGATCAACAATGCCGGGGTCTTTTGCTTACCAGGCGATGGGGAGCTCATTCCCATGAAAGGGTACACACAATGCATGGCTGTGAACTTCTTTGGGGCAGTAGAAATCACCAAGGCATTTCTGCCTCTTCTTAGGAAATCCAAGGGGAGGCTGGTGAACGTCAGCAGCATGGCAGGTGAGTTTGCCTTTCTCCACAAGATCATGTAGTGCTTGGCATGCAAGATGTAGCAAACCACATTCTTTTTATGCTCAGCAAGATAGCAGGACATGCTCATGCAGGGTCAGATCAAGATTAGTCAAATTTTGTGTTTACTGTTGATCTTAATACCATAAACCCTTTCTCCCCTTTCAAATCTGTTCTTGCGCAAACTCTCATCTACATTCTCATTCATCTGTTCAGTGCTGGGGATTTAGGACTCATATATTTTCACAGCATGATAGTCAATGCACCGATATCCTAGATTTGGGCAGGATATCCTGTATATCATCAATATCAACGCTACAGGGAACCTGTTTCCAACACTCCACACTCCCTTGCATACTCTGTCACTCCCTGTAAGTAAATAGGAAAATATCTTGCTTCTATTGGCTCTATCAGAGCCCCATATATTCCATCTCCATTGGCTGCTTACTAGTGTTTTCTACTAGGTCATCCTCATTCTTTTGCAGTCTCAAGGCAACTAGGTCAAGGTTTTACATTTGATAACTCATGTCTTTCTATTCCAAAGAATAAATAGTGCACCACCTCAATCAAGGCTTCACAATCTTCTTTTCCAGAAACAACACCCATGTGTGTGATGTCCCATCCTTTCTTCAAGGACTGACATTTTTGCACTGGGCTTTTTCAAAGACTTACTCATCTTTTCATCTTTGGATAATGACCATGGAGTTGTCTTTTTTTTTTTTTTTTTTAAGATTTATTTATTTATTTATACAAGCACTGGGTATAGTCAGAAGCGCAGGAGGGTGAGAGAATTCACCATAGCCAGATCAGGGAACAGAACAGGCAGACTGATGAAATACACTGCTGAGGAGAGCAGCGGGCGGCAGGAGAGGTCTGTGCACCATGTGGGACCCTCGCTGGTGGCCGGGGATCAAACCGGCACTGCAGAGGCTGCGGGCAACTTTGCAGCCCAGTGCTCAACCGCTGCTCCACCAGGAGAGACCCCATGGGGTTGTCTTTTGGGCCACTGCATGGATGAGAGAAGGGGACACCAAGGGGCTCTGGATTCCAAGATGTAGCCTTCAAGTATAGGAATACCACTGCTCACTATTTTATCAGTTAGCTCCAAATAAATTTTGTTTTAAATAAAGGGCACAACTATTTTTTTTAAAGGTAAACAAAGATTTTTAAGAATTTTAAGGGGGGAGTTTTTATTTCCTAGATAATTATTGTTAATCATAGCCTCTTTCCTAGCTTTAACCCAGTAACACCCTTGAAGTGAATTGCTGTATAAGTGAAGGTTACTGGAATTATTGGCTAGCCTGAGGGGATGGAAGAGAAAGAGAGAGGGAGGGAGGGAGGGAAAGAGAGAAGAAGGAAAGGGAAAGGAAAAAAGGAGGGGAGGGAAGTAAATCAAAGAAGGAAAAGAAGGAAGGAAAAGAGGGAGGGAGCAGGCAAGAGAGAGATGTCTAGAATGGTTAAGAGCAGGGAGTGCTATATTTTAATTTGTTTGCAAACCTTGAAGTATTTTCAATTCCTCCCTACCTTGCTGAAGCAAGCACACCCTGAGAAAATGCATTTGCTGTATTTCACTCTTTTTTTTTTTTTTTTTTAAGATTTATTTATTTATACAAGAACCGGGGTATAGGCCAGATTCTCGGGAGGGTGAGAGGTTTCAGCGGAGACAGAGAGGGGAGCAGAACAGGCAGACTGAAGAAATACACTGCTGAGGGGAGCAGCAGTCGAGATAGGAGAGGTCTGCTGCATCATGTGGGACCCTGGTGGCCAGGCGGGATCGAACCGGCTCTGCACAGGCTGCAGACAGCTTCACAGCGCGGCGTTCAACTGCCTGCGCCACCAGGGGAGGCCCTGTTTTTCACTCTTAATGTTGCTCTGAACATCACTTTAAAATTTTTGACCTGTGTGGAAACTTAACCTAATGCAGTCTCGTACTTCTGGAAAAATCTCATATGTTCCTTGCCTTTCTCATTCAAGAAATATATACTGAAATGTTTGTCATTTCCTTGACACATTGACAAGGACAATTTTTTCTTTCCTCTCAACTTTGAGTAATTCATTCATTCATACTGATTTTACTTCAGTTTTTACTTTTATGCATACACTATGTTCTATGAAGGCCCATTGTTTGGCATGTAGTAGATGCTCAATTAAAAATGAAGCAATGCGGGGCCTCCCTTGTAGTGCAAGGGGTTAAGTCTTAGCTGACCCACATGGTATAGCAGACCTCTCCTGTCTTGCCTGCTGCTCTTCTCAGCAGTATGTTTCAGTGGATCCACCTGTTCTGCTCCCCACTCTGTCTCTGGTGAATCCTCTCAACCCCCTGCTCCTCTGGCTTAACCCCAGCTCTTGTATGCATAAATAAACTTAAAAAATGAAGAAATGCAAGTGTGCAACTTGGGGAATAGATGGGGAAGAGAAGATTTCACAAAGCATAGGTTGCCTATTGGCATCTGCAGCTTGACCTTTAAAGCTTTTTCCAAGTCAGAACTTTGTGTTCTTTTGTGACATATTTCCATTGGTAGGAAAGTGTGATTGTTAAAGTAACCATGACTCACACTCCTTTCTGCTTGAGTACAAATTCTTTGCATCCAATCTCACTGTTTCTAGTCTTCCTGGTAAGTGATGGGGCCAAACCTCAAAGGAACTTAAACAAGAAAGGGAAGAGTAGCTCACTCACTATCTGGAACCAAGTTTTAAGATGAGATCTTAGTAATGGTCCCCTAACTCCACTCCCCGTTCTCTCCTCCCTCAAACTTTCTGCTTTCCTCTTTTCTCTCTACTCATCTTCTCTTAAGTGGTAGCAAAAATGGCCCCTGGGAATTAGTTCCTGCATTCCACCAGTAACACACCTGTTTAGCCAGGGATAAATGGTAAAATCATCTCCCTTCCCACATCCATATGAGGACTCTGCCCAGTCAGTCTCCATGTTCAGAAGACTGGGTGTTATGATTGACTGGTCTGCCCCTAAATGCATATCCTGAGACCAATGTTCTGATGTCTGCATGTGTAAAGATAAGAGTTTCCTGAGTCAACCCACAGGGCTCAGACACACAACTCAACCCAATTTGGATGCTGTCTACCTGGAAATAGCATCAAATCCCACAGGTTAAGGGTTCAGTCCCACAAGACTGTCACCCTCCTTCCAATTCAGAGGCCAATCACAAGCCCAGGTTGTTACGTGTGTCTGACTGGTGATAAATCAGAGGTCCACAGACACCCATCCCTGGATTTAATTACTTGGCTATAGTAACATTTAATTTTTTGATTACTGGTTTATCATAAATGGGTATTACTCAGGAACAGGCAGATGGAAGAGATGCCTAGGTAAGATACCTGGGTACCTGGATTATCCACGCCCCCTTCAGGCAAGTCACTCTCCCCATCTCTCTACCAACCAGGAACCAGGTCTCCCAACCTGGAACCCAGTCCTTTTGGGTTTTTATGGAGCCTTCATAACCTTGACAGAATTGATAAAATCATCAAGTATAAGTCATTGCATTGGATTCAATGTTAAACTCCTCTCTCTGGAGGTCAGAGTATGGGGCTGAAAGTTCCAAGTTCCTAATCAAGAGTTCAGTTTCACTGGCAGCCAATCCCCATTCTATGGCTACCTGGGAGCATTAAAAACAAACAAACAAACAAACAAACAAAAACCTCATTAACATAACAAAAGATACCTATAAGCTCTCTTCACTTAGGAAATTCCAATGGTATTAGGAAAGAACACCAAATACATTATTTCTTCTGATAAATTCCAACATCACAGCTTCTCTTAGTAGGAAGGATAAAAATCACTGATTGACAGCCTTCTAGAAGGATAGGGAGATAGGGAATTATATGGGCTTGGCCTAAATGTCAATAATAATAATGATGATGATGATGATGATGATGATGGTGATGATGATGAAGATGTCAGGTTAATGATAATATTAACATTAACTATTCCAGGTATCTCAGCTTCAATGCTCATGCTCTTTTCATAACTGAAATTGGGAGAATGTCTCCTTGCTTCTGAGCTTCTGGCTATCCCAGGCATTCCTTGGCTTATGACAGCATCACTCCAGTCTCTGCCTCCATCTTCACTTAGCTTTCCTTTCTTCCCTGTGTCTTTTCTTTTCCCTCTTTTAGAGACACCCATCCTTGGACTTAGGGCCCATCCTAAAACAGGATAGTCTCATCTTGAGATCCACACCTTAATTACCTTAGCAAAGACCCTTATTCCAAATAAGGTCACTGCCCTTTTCTGGCTTCCTTTGCTTCCATAATTTTTCTTTCACAGTTGATTCATGGACAAACCTGGTTCATTCCCAACTACCTTCAAATATAAATGTGATTTAGGTAGGATAAGAAACATTTGCTCCCAACCCTAACTGGCCCTTTTCTCATACCTTTTTACAGAGATGCCCCAGTTCCCCATGGTATTTGTTACTCCATGTGTTATAGGGCAGCCCCGATATTGGACGGGTTGCCTGGCTGTGGGTCCTCACTTGCGTGCTTAAAAAGGGACTTATTAATACTCCACTACAGGCATACACAAAAGGTTAATAAAAGGTTTATTTCCAAGGGAAAAGGAAATAAGGAAACTGTACAACTCAAGGAGAAAATAGGGAAATAAAGTCTTTAATGCGTCCTACCTGATCCGCCGACCTGGAAACCCAAAGGCACTCTCAGCACTGGCCGGACGCTGCGAGCTGGCGGAGAGCCAAAATGGGGGAACCCCTCCAAAGCCCACGTGTCTGGCTTTATACCAACTGGCTGCTTAACCCCGCCCACAGGTCCCAGCCACCTTCCCTTGGGTGATGATGGGATTTGGAGTTCCCAGGGTCTTTGGCTTTGGCCTGGGGTGGGGGTGGAGTCCACAAAGCCTGTATGGAATTAGCTTTAGGACATCCTTTTCCCCCTAACACTTGTTGCAACAAGTATTAGTCAATTTGTTCAATTAAGGTGCTATAACAGTTGAACAGTGCCCGCCCACACTCCCAATAAAATATATATCCATCTGGAAATTCAGAAAGCTGGGAGAGATTACAACTTATACTTGGTTATACTTGGTTTGCCAATGGACAAGCTGTGATAGAGTGGCCAGGAAGGCAGAAGGAAAGGAAGCCAGACAATGCTTGTAAACAAGAATATGAATTCACTTGGTACAGTGGTTCCTTATCTGCCTTAGTTACACCTGATAGCCACTTCCTATCCTTGCAGTTGGTGCTGTTTAGATATTTACTGAATCAACAAATGAAAACACGATCCTTGATTTTCCCCCTGCCATTATTCTCATAGGAGGGGTCCCCATATCATGGATGGCAGCATACAGCTCATCCAAGGCGGCTCTGACCATGTTTTCATCAGTCATGAGACAAGAACTTTCCAAATGGGGAGTTAAAGTCTCTGTTATCCAACCTGGGGCCTTCAAAACAAGTAAGTACCTGAGTCCAGAAGCTCATCCAGAGGGTTCTTATTCTGATGGAGCTCAAAGTGAACCCCTGGGTGGGTTTGGGATGGGTGGGTCTCTTAAGAATAGTGGGGTAAGGAGCAAGTGCCAAGCTCTTCAGTGTGTGGCTGCTGTCCTGCTTCTTTCCACTAAAAACCTGAAATTTTGATAAAAAAAACATAAGTCAAGGAATTTTCAAACACCACTTCCTCCCCTGTGAATATTATCTACCTCCCCTCTACCCTGGAAGGACATGACCTTCTTTCCCTCTCCCCTCCCTCACTTTCTGAAGAGTGGGCAGGCGCAGACCACCTCATGGCTCAATCTTTAATTTAGTTGGTGAATTCAGTGAAGATGCAAAAAAAGCAAACCTAATAAAACACCATCCAGTAGGGAGGGATTGCTGACACACCAAAGAACAAACCCTAGAGGTTTGGATGTTAATCCAAATCCACAAAATTAAGCCTAAAAAGAAAAACTGAAATTTTGTCTTGAAGAAGTTGGTACTAGGATCTCACAGAATTGCCTCAGAGGAGCATGGCCTGGTGAAAGAACTGTTCTGGGAGGGAGACTGAGAGAAAGAGACATTGGGAATCTGATGAGAGGCTGTTCAGTTGAGGGTGATAGGAATGGAGGGAAGATGAAGTTGTTTTGTTGGGGAGGAGTTTGTGTAGAAGACTGAGGTGTAGGCCAGAGGTGCAGGGGGGTGAGAGGATTCACTAGAGACGGAGGGGGAAGCAGAACAGGCAGACTGACTGAAATACACTGCTGAGGGGTGCAGCAGGTGAGACAAGAAAGGTCTGCTGTGCTGTGCATGGGTCAACTCCCTGGCCAGGGATTGAACTCAGTCCATAGTGGTAATAGCACTGAGACTTAACCCCTAGGCCACCAGGGAGGCCTGGGAATATGAAGTTTTGAGGGGAGTTTCCACCTTGAGGACTCTCTGGTAGAGAAAGAGAACTGAGGGGAATTGATGGAGGAGGAGAGTGGGCAAAGATGTCAAATATAACAGGAGCTGAGTTAGAAGGGGTGGCACAGACAGAGAAATTAGCAGAGAGTTAGGTAAGGGGGAAATTAGGAATCTCATTTTAAACATGGCAGGAAGGTTGAGGTTTTGTTGATGCACTCTAAGGAAAACACCCACATGAAGAGGTAAGACTCCATTTGGAGTAGAATTAATAATTAAGTTTCTCTACCATTAAGATATGTTATTGAGGATTTGCTGAAAATGTTAGAGCTCACATTGAACTGCTCTTATTAGGTACCAACCACTATCCCCACATTCTTTCCAGATGTTGATCTTTTTTTAAATTGAAAAATTTATTATATACACTCACAGTTTATAAATTATTAAAACTCACATTCTTAGTATCTGGATGTAAAGATAAAAATATTGCCAGCACCCAGAAGCCCCTCTATGATCCTGTCTAAGCATAGCCCTACTCCCACTAGCCAATATGCAACTACTCTCTTCCTTTTTATAACAATAATTGATTTGTTTTTCTTTGCAATGTTACATTTGTGAGTATATCCCCAAACAACAGAGTTTTGCTTTCCTTGGATTTGAAGGTTGAATGTAATCAATATGTATTTATTCTTTTGCATTTGGAGTTTTCATTCAACATTATGTTGAATGAATTCATCTATGTGTGGCTGTGTTTCATCATTTTCATTGCTATGTAATAGTCTATGAATATACCATGATTTTTCTACTATAGATGTGATATTTGAGTTACTTCCAAAATGGGACAATTATGAACTATTTCACTATGGATCTTCTGGCACATATACCATGGTATATGTGTGTATGTGAATTTTCTTACAACACAGACCCAGAAGTGTACTGACTAGATCATAGAATTTAATTACCTTAAACTTTATTACATAATACCAAACTTTTCTAAAATATTGTTCCAATTTCTACTCCCTTTCTATGTACATCTTAAGCAGCACCACAGCCCTGAGGGTAGGTTTGCTTAACATTAATCACTAGGTGAAGCCAGAGATGGGTAGGTAATATTAGGGACAGAAGGAGGCTGAACTCATCACTAACTTTAGGATTGCTAATTAGGGCCATGCCCCAGCAGAGATCACAAACAAAGCCCAAAGCCACAGAATTGAATTTAGGTTAACCAAGGATGGCATAAATAGAAAAGCATAATCTTAGCAGGAGATCAAAATGAAAAAAGTCATCAAAAATTCTGACTTCCAGAGCAACCTGCCATATGGCCTCAAATGCCATCTTGGAAACATAGACCCTGAAAGGAAGAGCAGACTCCATATTTGAGCTAGCCATGTGGTTTCAACTTGACACCATCTTTTGAGTAAAACTATTTACTACCACACACAACAATTTCTGCAAAATCAAACCCCTGAGCTAATGACTCGAAACAAATTGCACACATATACACAAAGTTTCCACAAGGTCAAGCCAGTTTTTCTATCATAAGTGTAACAGGGAAAAGGGAGATTCCAGGTTCCCTGTCCCATCCAAGGAAGAATGTTGCTGATCACAGAGGACGGCAAGCAAGGAAACACTGGAAGAAGGAAGGCTGGAAAGTAAGAAGACTTGGAGGAGGCATGTGCAGCAGAAAGACATGTGAAGAAGCTGCTCTTGCTTCTCGGCTTTGGGCTTATACCAGGGACTTGGGAGACATGGAAGGAGACACTTGAAAGTGACAGAGACATGGTGAGAGACCCATGGGGAACCTGACAATGACAGCCTTTATCTTAACTTGTATTTTAATTTTGCTTTTCCAGACTTGTCTGGCCCCTTCTGCCCCACCAGAAGGTGCCTTAGACTTGTGGCAAGCTTTTGGGTCTCAGCAGTCCTGCTTTGGGCTAACCCTGTTTTGCTGGGCATTTACCCATGAGAGGTTGGGTAACCTTGGGTATGGAAATTAATTTATCTCCCTGCCCTGTAACATAAAGGTTAGGAACAAATCTACACATAGCTAAAACACGGACACACCAGAGAAACAAAAACCACATTTGTGCTTCCGGTAGCTAGTGCCACAGGGAAACCAACTTTCCCCATAGGACTGACTAACCACCGATGGCTTACATCCCTTCTATGTGGAGTACCAAATCTGTTAGCATGGAGACTGATGGGCATCCCAGGAGCCCCAAACCTGCACACTCTAAATGGGTTCTGCTATCTGCTGCATAAATACAAAGCATACTCTTAGTGCATAAGACCTCCAAGAGAAAAGAACTTTAATAATACAATTAGTGTGCAATAGAGAGAAGAGAAAGACTATAATTAAAATAGTTTCTCCAAAAAGCACTCAAAGTTACCCGCTGCTTTTTCGGGTAAATGCCCAGCCAAACAGGGTTGGCCCAAAGTAGGACCGCTGAGCCCCAGAAGCTTGACACAAGTTGAAGGAACGTTCTGGTGGGGAACCATAGGAAAGGGGCAGAAACAGCCAGACAAGTCTGGAAGGAAAAGAGCAAAGTCAAAATACAACTCAAGATAAAGGCTGCCATTGTCAGCCTCCCCATGGGTCTCTACCCACATATTTGTCTCTCTCAAGTGTCTCCTTCCGTGTCCCCCAAGTCTCTGGTACTAGTCCAAGGTTGAGAAGTAATCACGGCTTCTTCACTTTCTCTGTTCCACGTGCCTCCTCCAAATCTTCTTATTCCTAAGTCCTTTTTCCAGTCTTTTCTAGCTTCTACTCACTGCTCAGCTCCACCCTTCCTTGAAACACTTACCTTTCTATGGGGATTACATGATACATATATACCCCAGTGTGGGTGTCTGGCACAGCATGATAGTGGGGATTTGAAACCAGTTCCTTTAAGTATGGCACTCAGATTCTTTCTTCTGTATCAACCTCAGTTTAAAGCTTTATTTTATTTTATTTTTAAATTATTATTTTAAAATAAAATAATAATTTAAAAAATAAAGCTGATACTTGAGTTCTATGAAAGCCAGAGCTAGACTGAAGATGACTGAGGACTTGTGTTTAGACAATGAGCTTGAAGGTGATGACAAGAAATCTTCAGGGGCATAAGGAGAGTCTGAATGTATTTAAAAAAGGCATACCATATTTTTTAGTGCCCTGTAATAAAAATTGCTGAAACATATTGTACACATAGCAGATTTTAAGCACTTTATGTGCACAATCTGACTTAAACCTCATCTATGAAACAAACATCATAATATTCCCACTTTGTAGGCTCAGAAAAGTTTCTGAGCTTTGTGAACCTCAGAGCTAACTTGAGGCAGTGGTGGAATTCAGTTCCAGGTCATCTTAACAATTTCATTGTTTAGAGCCCCCAAGCACCGGGGTTGGGTGAGTGTCAAAAGTGGCAGATGAAGGTGAACAAAAGCCTGGAGGTTTTATTACCAATAAGAAGAGCTTTTGGGACGGGATAGGTTACCCACAAGAGTTAGAAAGTGCGTGAGGTGTTTAAAGAGGGAGGAACTGGAGAGGAAAAGGAATCTTCCACAGAAAGCAGATGAGGGAGAGGGAGTTAGAGGAACAATAGTTCATGCAAACAAATTTTTTCAAGTCCCAGAAACCTCCATAGTAATTGTCAGGGTGCTCATTTCTTTAAGTGTTGTGCCTTCATGAAAAGAAATGAGCAATTGAAACCCTGCTTGCATTTCCATGAGTATAATTGGATTTCACTGGCTTACATTTCAAGCAAGGTTTCCCTCCCCCTTCTCCACCACCCCAAATCTGAAATCACCCAAGCTGGCAAACAAAAGCTTATCTGCACAGCAATCCCTGAGCAATCAAGCACTTTGCAGGAGGGAGTGTGGTTTGCTGCCACCTTTCTGGAAAGTAATATGGCAGTGGCTGTTAAAATTCAAATTCAAAAGGCATGTACCTTTTTTTTTTTTTTTTTTTTTTTATAGAGGCATGTTTATTTATTTATTTATTTTGTTTGTTTGTTTTGTTTATACATGCACTGGGTACAGTCAGAAGCGCGGGAGGGTGAGAGAATTCACCAGAGCCAGAGCGGGGAGCAGAGCAGGCAGAAGGACCGAAGTACACTGCTGAGGGGAGCAGCGGGCGGCAGGAGAGGTCTGCGCGCCATGTGGGATTCTCCGCCGGTGGCCGGGGAGCAGCCGGGGATCGAACCGGCGCCGCAGAGGCCGCGGGCAGCTTCGCAACCCAGCGCTCAACCGCTGCGCCACCGGGGAGGCCCCGGCATGTACCTTTTGACAGACAGTCACACTTTGGGGACCATAGCCCACAAAAGTGAATGTGAAAACAAAAAGTCCAAATCTGTTTACTGCAACATCACCTGAAATGGTGAAATCTGGAAAAGTTGCTCGGTACAGGAGCAGTTGACTAAAAGCTGTTCAGTGAAAAATTCTGCTTCTTGGGTTTAAATCCATAGCCATTAACAGGAGGCAAATCCGTGATTTATTACTAAGAAACAAAAAAGAGAGAAAATAACAACCCAAAAGCAAATTCCTGGAAAAAATTTCTGTGCTTCTTTTTGGTTTTTGTTTGGAAAATAACAAAACAAAACTAAACTAAACCAAAGCCTTCTATATGTACATATATTTGCATGAACAAGGAGAGAAAGAGGGAGGATACACAAAACTATTAGTTATCTCAGAGGAAATTAATTTAAAAAACTATACATCTCATTATGTATTCACCTTACACAAAAAAACAGGCATTGCTACTACATTTTAAAGTAAACCTATATGTAACTAAATTTTACATAAGTGGGTATTACTTCTACATTAAAATATATTGATATAGTTAATCATAATTTATAAATTTCATTTTAACTGTATATTTAAATCATTTACTGTATTATTTAAATTATGATTTAATAGATAAAATGATATTTAAAATTATATATTTAATTTTATACATAGAAGCAGGCATTACTTCTACATTTAAACAATTATATATACATATATGTATATGTGTATGTATATTAGCACTCAGACTAAGGGGTATCCGAGGGCCCCCAAACTTGCATGTTCTGCCCATCAGTGCACAAAGACAAAGCACACTCTCCATGTAGAAGAACTTTAATAGGATTAGTGTGCATAGAGAGAGAAGAAAGGATAATTTTTTTCCCAGTAAAACACCCAAAGTTACTCATCCCCTCATGGGTAAATGCCCAGCCAAATAAGGTTAATCCAAAGCAGGGCCAATGAGGCCCCAAAGCTTGCACAAGCTTGCACCTTCTGTTGGGGAACCATATAGCAAAGGGACAGAGCCAAAGACAAATTAAGACAATGGTTGCCATTGTCAACCCCCCCATATCCCTCTCACCCACATGTCTCTTCCAAGTGCCTCTACACGTCTGTCCTCCGCTTGTCTGATCCAAGTCCCCCAAGCCCCTGCTGCAAGTCCCTTGCTGAGAAGCAAGAAAACCCTTCTCCTCTACCAGTCTCCCTCTAGAGCCTACATGCCTTTTGTGTTACAAAGCTTTCCCTGGCTGCTCAGTCTGCCCCTCATTAAGTGGGGTGGGGAACAATGCTTCTTCCCCTTTTATGGAAGTGTTTCTGTTACAACATGTTATATATTATATAGTGTACCCTGTATTTTATATTGTATGTGAAAAGACATGTGCTAGAATGTTTGAGGCAGCACTGTATATGAGAACTCCAAACCTAAAACAATCCAAATGGGATGGTGAATTCTCACTTAATGTCAGTAAGTTCCTGGAAACTACCACTTTATATAAAGAAGCCCATGTTCTTGAATAATGTTTTATTGAACATGGCCTGGATTTTCCCTTTGTTACCCATGTACCAAATGATGTTATATGAGGACCTGTCATATAAATGATAAATAACTGATGGCATATTTACACAATGGAAAACTATGCAGCAATGAGAATGCCCATAAAATCCCTGGATGAATCTCACAACTCAATGTGTTACTCCATTATGCACTTTTCAAAGTCCAGCAAAATGACGGTCTATTCTGTTAATGGAGACAGTGGTTCCCAGGGTGGCAGCCCTTTCCTTGATGTGGTTGCTAGTTACACAGGCTGTTCAGTTTGTTATCTGTGCACTTTTCTGAATGTATGTTTAAAATTATAGGATAAATACTATTATAAGACACATATTTTAAAAGGCATTTGGGAACTCCCATACTTCCCAACAGAAACTAATTACCTGTTAAGGGTCGGATATGCCTGGCCTGGCCTTCCCAGCATCTAAGTATCCCTTTCCTTTCACATCACAGATATCTTAGGCACGAGTGACATGTGGAACAAGATGGAGAAGGATATTCTGGACAATCTCTCACCTGATGTACAGGAGGACTATGGCCAGGACTATATTTTGCGTCTACAGAATTGTGTCAAGTCTATGGAACAGAAAGCCGACTCGGACCTCTCCCCGGTGCTCCTGGACATCCAGCATGCTATCTCTTCTAAGAGCCCCTGTGCATTTTATTCACCAGGGATTTTTTCTTTTGTGTGCCTCTGCTTCATTAATTTTATCCCGACTAGCATATTTGATCATTTCTCCCAAAAAGTGTTTGATTTCAAAGAGATCATGCCCAGAGCTCTAAGGAGGTCTGACTGGAAGAATAAAGCCATGTAGGCAAAGTGGTGGGAAATGCTGTGAATGCAAGGGAAGCCTGAGCTCCTCAAGGGAACTTCCCCCAGGTACTTCCCAAGAAGTACCACTTTGGCGTATAGATCATTTTGACCTAAGGTCAAGCAAGGCTTGACAGGAACTCTTGCAGGCTCAAGAGGAACTTTTACCACTCTCATAAACTACCCAGAAGAATGGAAATTAGGGGGTATTACCCAGATTTAGGGTTATCTCCAGAAATAAGCTTTTTATTTGAGAAACCCATCTAGATAGAGATGTAAAACACAGTTACAGAGCATCTGCTCCATCTGCCTTGTGAGTCCCCTCCTTGCATCTTGAAACCCAAGGTCTCTAACCCATTCCTTAGCTCAGGATAAATATCCCTATTTATCCCATTTACTTTAGAATTTATACCTATGTAGATTATCTGTATATACATACGCAATTAAATTTACTTTCTCCTACTAATCTTTCTGGTGTTAATTTGATTGCTTGACCAGCCCAAGAAGAATCCAGAAGTCTTGGATATTCCCCCTCTGTCCTTCAACTTTCATTAAAATTGGGACTTCCTACTTTGCATTTCCATAAATTCTGTTGGTTGAATAAGGCCTAGTGACAAATAGATTGGAGGATAGAAATAACCACTAAAGAGAGCATTAATTGAATGCCTACTATATATTTCAAACATTTTAGATATTCTCTTATCTAGTTTTCATCAGAGAACTGAGGTAGGTATCTTCACCCCCTACTTAACAAGTAAGGAATTAAGGACCAGAGATGTAAAGCACCTAATTTACTGTCACCCAGCTAGCAATAGGCAGAGCTAGAATTGAAATCCAAGTTGGACTCCATTGCCTGTTAGGAGAGGAGAAAGATTATCAGGGATCATCTCCCTATTCCAACATTGCATAGTTATACCTGCAAAGTCCCTTTTGCCAGGTAATGTTACATATACACAGGTTTCAGTGATTAGTGTGCATTGTAGTTCTAGGGACTGATAACACCTACTGACTCAGAAACTTGTTTTAAGGACCCTTCCAGGTGATACACAAAATTTTCAGAACTGCTGGTCTAAAACATTGAGTAATCAGAATGCAGGATACATGTGGTCAGGGCTCAGGTGACAGGGGAAGCTCTTTGAGGACAGTGGGGGAGAGCTGGGAAATCAAGTTGAGAACTGAAGGTGGGGACTACTTTCTATTCTGCAGCCTCCCAGGGATTGAAAACTGTATTGCATGGGGAGAAGATGCTGTGCAGAGACACAGATGGATCTGAGAATCTCAGAAGAGAAGCTACTAGCTGGGTTCTTCCAGACGATCTTGGGGGTTATCTGGAAGGGAATATACTCTGAGGTTGCTTCTGCAGTTGAGGAAAGATTGACAGCCCTCACAGTCACTTCCATCTTGACTGCCTTGGATGTGGGTGGGAGTGGGGAGTTCTGGGAAAGTCCTAGAGGCTCCTGGATAGAATCAGAAAAAGAGCTTGGAATGAAAAGCCAGGGTGCCTATGGGTGAGTGGGGGTACCCTGTAGCAGAGAACTGTGGGGAGCAAAAGGGAGCTGCAGTGAGGATGAGAAATTCATCTGGAAGCCAGTGAAGATGGGAAAAATGTCCCTTGCCTGGTGCCAGGAAAATATACCAGCTTCTAGGAGCTTAGATTCAGATTAAAAGGGAAGGGTGAAAAGAAGGAGAATGGGGGAGAATCCTGAATTGTACTGCACATTCTTCTGGAAGATCTTGTTTTAAAACACGAGAGACTAAGTTACCTGAAACTACAAATGAACATTCAAATGTATTTCCTTTTAGCTTAATAGCTATAGTTTTCAGAAATCAAGACACAAGTATTACATATAAAACAACCCATGCCCTGACCATGTGTGTACAGTAATTGATGTTCCTGATTTACTGTAAGAAACCAGTAAGAGCTGATGCCAGGGGGATGTCCTCAATAAGTCCATAATTCATTGTATTGTTGGGGGAAGGTGTGATGAAGGGAGGTTCAACAGTAGGACTCTTGGCCAAAAGGATTTCTTCCTCCCCAGTCCTGCTCTTCTCCAAAAGAGCAGACAGTTCAGCATCTCATGCGAATTGCATATAAAACTCAACCCACTCCAATTTATCTCTTCCTTTCTAGCTTTTTCCAATGCTGGTAGCAGGACAGTAGGTCATCCTCCCATCAGATTCAGGATAAGAGGGAGAATTAGGAAAAGCATCCAGTGACAATATGATTTCTTTGATCATATCAGAGGATAAATGCCTACAAATAAACTTTACTATATTATTTGAATGGAACATTAAATTTCATCAGTGTCATTATGCTGGTGATAAAAACCCTGTGCTGGAATGCCATTTTGGATGGTATAGTTCTGAGAAAGAGTAATTCCATGAAAATAGCTCTGATGAGGTGGTGGTGTGTCCTTCCCAGGTAATCTCCATTGGACACCATGGTCCTGACACCTACCTGTTCGATAGTGGCTCAAAATAAAGTGTTTCTTCACTGATTATTTCAATTCTTGTGTTTCAGGCTCTCAGCAATAGGGGTGGCCACATCAGAATTAGACAGGTGTTTCTGAGTCCCAGTCCAATACCCAGCTCATATTTCTACATCAAATTAGAAGCAGGGCCTCCCCAGTGGTGCAGTGGATTGAGCGCAGCACTGTTCACAGCCTCTGTAGCACAGGTTTAATCCCCAGCCAGCCAGGAAGATACCCACATGGTGCGGCAGACCTCTCCTGTCTCGCCCACTGCTCCCCTCAGCAGTGCTTTAGATCCGTCTGCCTTTTCTGTTCCCCACTCAATATCTGTTGAATTCTCTCACCCTCCCATGCCTCTGGCCTGTATTTTATTTGTATAAATAAATAAATCTTAAAAAATGTTAAAAAAAAAAGAAATTACATGGAAAGGAAAGGACTTGGAACTAATTTGAAGATAAAGACAATGCAATATCTTGCAGTCTGAAGTTGCTTACTCCTTTACCTGCAAAACATTTCTTTGGAGAGAGATTTTGGAGAGATTATCATTTAAGGGACCTCACCTACCCAACCATAGGGGCAGGAATATAACCCAGGCTGATCTATAAACTCACTTTCGGGGATTGGTTCAAGGGTGGGCCCTAAACCCAGAAAAGCCAGCCATGGTTCCCAGTGGTGGGGGATTGTTAATAGGCATCGGGAGAGAAAAGAGTATCTGTACACTGTAATGTCTATATTAAGTGGAAGCTTCCAGAGCCCATTAAGAGGACAGTCTGATAGAGAATGAAACCAGAATAGAGGAAAATGGTGGACCAGAGGATGAAGAAAAGACAAGTCTGATGGCTAAGTTTAAGCCCTTGACAGAGCTGCACTTGTAGATCTACCCTAAGGTCCTGATCTAGGGTTGAATTCCAAGTTGTGTGAGTCAATACATTTTCTTTATACTATTTTCAGTTGGGTTTCTATCTTTTGCAACAGAATTAGCTCCTGAAAAATTCTCTTGGGAAGGATTCAGTGAAGAATAAGAAATAACATAATGTTTGACCGAGAAAATAGGCAAGACTGCAGTGTTCGGGGGAGAAAGAAAGAGATGAGATTTATAAGGAAAAGAGAGGTTACCTTGGCTGGTATTACCATTCAATGGCCCTTTCCTGGAGAAAATTATTCTGTTAGAATTTCTTTGGGTCTTATCCAGTCTCTCTGGAACAAGGTGAAACACAAGTCTTTCCCTGTCCCTAGATGGAAACCAAAGACTTCAGCAAATTGGCAGTTGAAATCATGCTTGGCTAGGAAAACAGTGTAAGATACACTGTGTAGCATGAAAAGACATCATGCACTTGATCATCACAAAATTTATTTACCATATTGCAAAATATAGAGATGATGATGTGAGAATCCCAGTCTGCCACAGGGAAAAGGGAGATCAACAAGGAAACTGGATGATTCTGTCCAAAATTATTTGTTCTTGTCAGGTTGTTCCATCCTTGTGAGGGTGTTCAAGCTAGCAGTCAATTGCCCAGGGAATTTTACCACAGGGATAATTTCCTTTAGCTCTACTTTCTGTTCTTACTCTTATTTGGATAATAGGTGATGATTCGCTCCAGGATAGAAGATAACCTCTCTTTGGTATTGCCTTGTATTCTCTCTTTTGACTCTCCAAAATGAACTAATTCCATATAAAAATTTTTTAACTTGAAACATGATATTTTTATTCAAGGTATGGTTTTTAGGTAAATCTTAAATGTTTGCATGAAAAAAATTTCATTTATAAACACAAACCTAACCTAACACTTTCATCTTGAGTGTCCATGGTGAGTAGCAAAACAGAACTGAGAACTCATAAGAAGGCTAAGTTAATACATGTCACTGTCATCACAATGCTGATTATTTCATTGTGGGGGAGGGTAGGCTATCCTGCATTCACTTACCTTCATTTCCCAAGTGTGAGACATTGGTGGAAAGCAATTTTTTTTTTTCACCAAGCAAGAAGTCAGCAGGTTTATTCCTACCTCTCCTGCATCTCAGTATCTAATACTTGGACATCATGAACAAATGTAAGACCTTCTGAGGATATGGGATGTCTGCTGAGGAATATGAAGAATGATGGTGAGTTTCCCACAAATGCTGGTTATTGTATTTCCTTTTTATAGACCCTTAGAGACACTTGATCCCATCAACACAAACTTTCAAGACTGGTCCTTCAAACTTGTGCTCGATTACATGAAATATATATATATTTATATATATAAAAATATATATATATAAAATATATATAATATATATTATATAATATATATATAATATATATTAAAATATATAAATATATATATATTTCTGTTATTTGCAGCCATAATGATTCTAATTTATACCACTAGCCTCATCATCACCACTAGAGAGTTGTTACTGCTGCACAGTATATGGGTCCTCTGGGTCAATGGCTCCAAGAACGCTTATCTTCTACAAAGCCCTGATGTGTGCAAGGGATGGTGCATACATTTCCTCTTATGTGTGCCAGTGATTCTCTACTTTCTTTCAATCAAGATTCTGCCCCATCTGTAGGTACCTAGTTTTTGAGGCACCAGGAGAGTCCTGGGTTTCTCTCTTCACTTTGTTTTCTACTGAGAAACATTTTCAAAACCTCCAGTTTACTTTCTCCTTCTAACTTAAGATTTCAGAGATAAGTTATAGAATTCCAGTGCCCTTTAGCTCATACAGATGAGTTGTTTTAATTATATCAGGTGTGGTTAAATGGTTAAGAGACTTAGAAAGGGTTGGAAGATTTTTTCTTGTTATATTGGGTACTGCTAGTGACCTTATAAAGGCGTATGTTCTATCCACTCAGTGAATGGACCTGTTGTAATCAAGAGAAATGGGAAGATTAGGACCCAGGAGGGGAAATAATCATCCTTCATTCATTTCAAAGCATCCATTGGTGCCTACTATGTACCAGCTTTTATTGAAGTTAATTGGAAGTTGTTGGGGGGTGTCTTTCCTAGAAGGATCATGATATCTTCTGTATCGTATAACATGTTTCCTAAGTGAGTTGGACCAAGACCTATGTGTCTCTTCCAATAAAGAGAGTTCCATATTCAGTAAGGGGGAAGACTTGAACATGGTGTCATTGTCCTTTGTTGAAATGTTCTTTCTTATAATTGCCTACTGCTTAAATTGTCAACAAAATATCCCATCTGAACATTATAACTGACATCTATTTTCTACGCAAAATTGGGGAAAATGGTTCATAATGTCTCTAACAAGGTAGAAGAACACTAATTCGGTGCCATCTTGGGGCTTTCATTCCTGTCCTGAATGAAATGATAGAACAGAACTTGTTCTCTCCCAGGACGGCTGTGAGTGGTGGCATAAATTAAAGTTGAAGAAACGTGTAAGAGAAGCACAAGGAGGCAGAGGCTGGAAGCTGAATAGGTAACACCTGTTGAAAGGGAAGTGGAAGAGCGGACCCATTTCTGTATTGTGGTGTCCTGTGACTTTTGCTTTGTTGTTAATTGAGAGTGAAGTGCCTACCTTTTTGAGAGATGGATGACAACACCATCTTGCAGACCATGAAGCAGGGGCACAGGGAGAGAAACTGTGGAGGAGACTTTGCGTCCCAAATGAAGAAAGCAGCCTCTGTCTACCCAGAACTCATTGTATGGTTGACAGGAAATCCCAAGACTTCCTTCAGACTTCTGAAGGTATCGGACGAAACCCTTCGCAAACCCTTTTTATATACCAGAATGTATAGGAAGGATAATAGCTCCCCCCACAACCCGAGTAAGTGCTTGATGTTCCAGGCTGTCCAAGTCACACTAACTAGGATGGCTGCTGCTCAAAGACTCTAGAGCAGAGACCCAACCCTTCTTTGACACCTCTGGGGCATGCATGGTGATAGGCAGGCCTGGCGGTCAAATCAGCTGCAATGCATCTGAATCCATAGGTCCTGGGCCACAGGGAGGAGCCTGTGCTCTGGTCTGAGGTGACAAACTACAGAATCAGTTTGACTTAGAATTGATTTTGGAACACCAATTACCATGTAGCAAAGGCCCAAGAAGGCATAAGGGCAACTCTGGCCAAAGCTGAGTGGATGGCTGGAACTTGCCATGCAGAGGTATGGCTGATTGGAATCACTTATCTCACTGAGACTTGGATCATAGGTCTCAAGGAAAACCGGCTCATGCCTCTAGGCTGCCTTCTTTCAGATATACTCAGAGAACCCGCAAAGCAAGGTCACTTGGTGTTGGCCTTCTGTGACTCAAGGGCCCTGATCATTACAAGGCTTCTGAATCCAGCCAAAGCCATCATCCCTTCCTGTTAGCCTGGATGTTAGCCTCTGGGGTACTTTTTGGCATTTACTGAAACACAGTCCCAAGGATGCAGGACTTGGGCAGGGGAGCGAAGGCTGGATTTCAGACCCCTCTTAGTGCCCTGGCAGGCTGTGTTGTGAAATGCACAACCTGCACAACCTGCACCACCATGCATGTCAGCCTTGCCAAGCTTTGTGATCTCCAGGAACAGTTTCTGCATTCCTTCCTTAGAATGCATTCTGCAAAGCCCAAGTTAGTTTCGGGCTCAAGGAGGTGAGCAAGTAGCAAACAGAGAAGAAAAGACAGAATGACAGCTTTTATTCCACCACCCCGATGAGACCTTCTGCTGTAGGGGTACCAGAAACTATGGCAAATACTGAGCAGAAATTCATTAGGTATGAATAACCATGTGGACTCCTCGAGGACACCCACAGGCATGGAATACTTAAAGTTCCAAAATGGAGACAATAAGCTGGAGAGGTTGTTGTCACATGTCACCTTGCTAGCCTGGACATATTACAGGAGGCAGTTTAACAAGCATTTCTAGAACAAGAAGATGAGATTGGGATAAGAAGGCCAAGTGATAATGGGAGATGTTGGAGGTGATGGGAAGGTACGGGGCACACATATATGGGACAAGCTAGAAGGAAATTAGAATGAGCATGGGGGATGGAGATGGGCTGTAGGGCAGGGGAGCTGAGAAATCTTGACTGAATAACATTTTATCTTTACAATACCACCCCAGGATGGTGAAGTGAGTGAGTCATTTGCGAAGGTGGAAAAAAGGCATCTCAAGGGGATTTTCACAACTGATGATGCCTGAGTGGACAGTGGATACATGAAAAGTGACTGCATCATCAGTCATCAGAAAATGCTAATTAAGACTACAATGCCAGGATGACTAAAACAAGAATGGCAGACAAGTGTTGTTAGTGTTGATGAGGATGTAGAACAACCTGGAAGGGCATGCATTGCTGCATAGTTCGTATAACCATGGTGCTCATTTGCCAGGATTGCTATAACAGTGTCACAGATTTAAACAACAGAAATTTATTTTCTTCAGATTCTGGAGGTTTGTGGTCCTAGACAAGATTGGTTTCTTCTGAGAGCCTCTCTCCTCTCTCCTGCTGGCTCTTGCTGGGAGTCAGCTGACACCCATCTTATCTGTGTCCTCACAGATGTTTCCTGTGCACATCTGTGTCCTAATTGCCTCTTCTTGTTAGGACTAGTCTTACTGGATCAGAACTCACCTTAATGACCTCATTCATCCTTACTAGGTTCTTCAATGATGCTATCTCCAAACACATTCACCTTCCCAGGTACTAGGAGTTAAGACTTCAACATGTGAATTCGGGATGGAGGTACATAGTTCAACTCTTTGCATTTCTTTTGGAAAGCTATTTGGAGATGGCTACTAAAGCAGAAAATAGCTTATTTTAGGTATTTACCCAACAGAAATGCATATGTTGGTACAGTAGAGGCATGTTACAGAGTCCAACATGCAAACAACCTAAATGTTTGTCAGAAGAATGGATGAATACATTGTGGTATGTTCCAACAATGGAATACTCTGTAGCAATGAAAATGAATGAAAACCAAATCTAGGGTGAAGTGACCCAACAGAACTCACCACATAATTTTGCATGATTGATGCCATTTTTAATGTACTTGTTGCATTTCAATAAAAAATTTGCAATAAAAAAAAGGCGACTACTGGCCAGGGAATTCAGTGGCACTTGCACTGTCAAGGTCCCCATGCAGTTGTGGCAGCAATGTCTCCAACAGAGGACTTTCCTAATTCTCTATGTAGGTGTAGATCCTATCAGCCCATTCAGGTTTGTCCAGACCATTCTGTGGGTACTGCAAAATTATAAAGAGTTCTCAGACACTGGAGCTATGCATGTGTAGAAGAAGAGATAAGGATGCACAGTGGAGTAAATATACATAGAGAACATCTTAAAATACAAATATGTTTGGCTCTCACCTGGAAGATTGCCTTAAGAGTTACTAATACCCAATATAGGACATGTACTACAGACCAAACTCTGACCTCAGGAATCCTCTCAGCCCCAAGGAACAGATATAATCTACATTTGACATCTGAGGGGGTGAGGTGTGCCCAGAACCGTGCCTAATATGCCCTTTGCTGCTCACTGGCAGCATATTGCATGGCCCCTTATTTCTCACTGTATGGAGAGCACTTTCCTCCCAGAGGTTCATTCTTACTGTACATTCTAGACAAATGTGAGATAACATGTATCTACTGCTACAGTATTCACAGAATATCTTCACTGCCTTAAAAATCCTTCATTCTTGCCTATTTTTCCTTTCTTCCTCCCCATCCCTGCCAACCACTGATACTTTTGCTGTCTCCATAGGTTTGCCTTCTCTAGAATGCCATATAGTGGGAATCATACAGTACATAACATTTTCAGATTGGCTTCTTTCACTTACTAATATGCATTTAGGCTTCCTCCTTGTCTTCATGTGTTGATAACTTGTTTCTTTTTAATTCCCGGATTAGGTATTCCATTGTCAGGACTTGCCAAAGATTATTTATCCACTCATCTACTGAGGAACATCTTGGTTGTTTCCAAGTTTTGGTAATTATTAATCAAGCTCTATAAACATCTATATGCAGGTTTTTGCGTGGACATGTTTTGAGCTCCTTTGGTGAACACCAAGGAGGGCAATTGCTGGCTCATAGGGTAAGAGTACATTCAGTTTTGTAAGAAACTGCCGAACTGTTTTTCCAATACGGCTGCTCCATTTTGAATCCTCAGGCCACACAGTTTCGATTTCTGCTTATTACTGTTGTTGCGTTGTGCAACACCACACTGATAAAGACAAGGGAGTCATGGAGCAGGCTGCACAAAGAAGGATGCTGCTGAGAGCAAGATCCTGGCCATTTTTTACTGATAGAATAATCATAGAGCATCAGCTACATGTGTTAGGAGGACAAGGAGAAAAGGATTGGTGAAACTCAGGAATGTTATCTAGGGCTTGGGGGACACGAGTCTACTGGCCATGTTATCAGCCTGATGACCAAGTGTTGTAATCGAAACTAGACCCCAGACCCCCAGCCATGGTCCTAATCTTATCAACAAGGCATTCCACTGATCAGCTTCTGGAGTCCCTTGTCATACATCGGTCCTTGGCCCCCCGGGCATTCCCGGTCATACCTCATGATGTATGAGTTGGGAGTTAAGTTTATGCATCTGTTCTCAGCCCCCCGGGCATTCCCGGTCATACCTCTTGATGCATACCCCTTCCCAGAGTGATCATTCTTTCTGCTCTTGATTGATATGAAAGGCACCTTGTAAGGTTTGGCTCATAGGACTGTGACTGGGCAGTTCTGACCTCTGTATAGGAATGCAGAACTGCAGGTAGCCATAATGGTGGCTGGACAGGCTGCTTAAGTCTAGCAGCCGCTAAAGTCTAGCAGACCCACATATTGTGACTCAGTTCCCCTGGGGGACCAGTGAAACATTCTGTCATTTCTTTTTAGGTTTGGCTATAGGCTTTCAATGTGCAGAGTAGTCTACATCTTTTTAGTCCTTCATTCTTACCAGACAGGTTGAGTCAGGAACCACCTTGGCAGAGAAAAGAGCAGGTGCATCAGCCCTATAGGGCAAAAGGTTTGGAGGGAAAGTCTGTGACTATAAAGGAAGAGGGAGAGTCGCTTGTGAGGGAGAGAGAGAGTCGCAGATGAGATTGTAAAGCCAGGTCCAGATCATATAGGGTAAGGAGTTTGGAATTTATTTTCAGTGTAGTGGAAAACCATAGAAAAATTTTAATCAGATAAGTGACATGATCAATTTCCAGATTTAAAAAGTAATTTGGTATTTATGGCTGGTTTTCTCATTCTCTGTACTTATCCAGCTTCTGAGGCCTCTGATTTTACTTTCATATGCATATGTCTGTTTGCATAGTCTGCAAGCATTTACATTTTAAGAATAATTTCCACAATATAAATACAAGTTTTCAACATTAGTCTGCAGAAAAGAAGAAATCATGTCAGAGCACTAGATTAACCCTGAGTTAAAAATTGCATGACTCATAGGAAGCAAAAACATAATTTGCATTAGATTTGGTCAAGTTTTTGTTAAATTAAAATAGATCAAAATATATTTGCATTGTGAGAAGTACAGAAACTGTAGATTAAAAGAGACCTAAAGTACACATCAACCAGTAAGTGTAGACCTTATTAGGGTGTCAATTTAAACAGCGGGGAAAAAATGGCATATATTGCTAGGCAATAGGAAACTTTAAAACTAATTGGAAATTTCATGATATTAAGACATTTATTAAGAAGTTATTAGGTCCACACTGAGGACCTGGGCTTGGGAGACCAATACCAGATTTCTCTGAGTAATTTGTCTCCGTCTTCAGAGACTTTGGTCTTGGTTTATATAGGTAAATTACACAGGATGAATACTTTTTTTTTCTTATCCAAGAAAAGGAGACATTTAGCTAATTTGTAACATTTTCAGTTAATTAAAGGAGGAGTTGTTTCCTAAGAAACTCAGTTAATTCATAAAGGAGAAACACTTCATAACTTGAAAGCAGGGCTTGATTTTACAGAGCAAATGCAGCCAGGGCTATCTGTGTTTGGGATGATGTAAGGACCAAAGGTTAGTAGAATCTTGAAACCTAAAATATCCCTATAGACAGGAGGGTGCAGTCAGGCCAATATCTCCTGTTCCTTCTTCCTGCAACTCGCAAACATGTCAGGGACTCAATCTGGGTTTTTGGGGGTGCCTTTGTTTCTCACCCCAGGATTTGTCACAGTGAACAAGAATCATTGCTCTACTGAATCTGACCCCTTGAGGTTGCCCTGGTAGGGTGGAGGTAGAGGTGGCCCTGGTAGGTAGGACAGAGGTAGACATTTTCCAACAGAGCAGAAAGTGATTTTTTTTTTTTGTCTATGTACCTACCTATCTACCTAACTACGTATTTATCATCACCTATGTATTAAAATTCTCCATTACTCTTGAGCCCTGAACAATGGAAGATATTGAGCTAAACAGTGAAGTATGTAAAATATTTGGAGTCCAGTATTTACTAGAATTCTCAGAGGAAAGTCACTAACATTTATGTGAGGTTGGGTAAATAGGAAAAAATTTTTTTCATACAAATTGCATGAGGAACTTGGGGGTGGAATCAGAAAGAGAGACATAATCCCTGCTTTCAAATTGAATATTTCACAGAATATGACCTAAGTGAATATGTGATGAATTAGTTATATTCCAAGTGAGAACTCATTAAATAATTGCTTTTCCAATTTTTATTGTGATAGATTCATACATGTAATCTCTCCTAATATGGGACAACTAGTACTGAGAATATCCTATTTATGAAATAAATCATTTGTGTTGAAAATTGATTGCAAAAGTGAATTTAACCCCTATTATCTGAAAAGGGGAATTTATAGAAAAAGGAAGTATTTAAAAAATGCCAGGTAGTACAATATGAAAGAATGTTTGGAACACATTAGGGTTTTTAGTGGCTAGGTTATTTTATGCTTATTTCTCAATTCTATTTTTTGGCTTCCCCTGCAGGATGACATAAGACAGAGAGCATGGGCTTCGACATTAGTAGATGTGTGTTCAAATCCTGGCTCTACCACTTAAAGACTATGAGACATTAGGTGAGTTACTAAATGTCTCCGTACCTAAGTTTCTCTATGGGTTAAGTGGAGATAACTCTACATTGCCAGCCCATAATTCTTTGTCTGGCTGAGTGTTAGTATTTGTTAAACAAAAAAAGTGAATAATGTCAGAAATGTTCCTGGCATATGACTGACATTTCATGATAAATCTTCGGAAGGTTGTCAGAGTATTCTTTTGGCAAACATCCATCCAGCATTGTTTCTACCCATCTTGCTTTATTTTCCTCCAGGTAACATATTGGTCCCATCATCATCAGTTCCTCCTGATTAAATACCGATAGCATCTCTGATGGCCAAATGTGGATTAGCACATTATGTTCCCAACCTAGGTCAGGTTTTCTGTGACCATGAACTCCAGAATGAGGTCTATGGTTTAAATGGCAGGTGTCCCTATGTTATTTTTCATTTCTGACTGTGCCATCCCAGTGAAGTTAAATGAGAATCTGGGGTGGGAGCAGGGAAGTGCCAGGTTTGAGAATAAATCATCTGGCACAAGCATTGTATTGGGTGAAGAGACCTTCAGGGACAGTAATGAGGGGAGAGGTCTGGGAGGGAGATGCAGAATGAGGGCCTGTCGTGAGTAGGAAATGAAGGACAGAAGTCATGGTCTGCCAATGTCAGAATGACATCCTCATTGTCTGATGGTCTTGTTCTATCCTGCTGCAATTTTGCAACAACATAGGCTTACCCCTGCTATTCATGGGCAAGCAGGGTTTTCTCCCATCCATCATGCTGCTGAAAGATTAGCAAGAGATACATACCATCCAGATCAAATATGCTTTAAGAAGAATTGTGTCCAAGGACTACTACTTTACAACAAGTGTCCTGAAACCCAGAGCATCTTTTCTTTCAAGGTGAGCAAAAACACAAGTCTCCATGGAAAACTAGCAAAATAGGGCCTCCCTGGTGGCCTAGCAAAATAGGGCCTCCTGTGTAGCTATTGCAGCACAAGTTCAATCCCCAGCCGGCCAGACAGCTGACCCACATGGCGCAGCAGACCTCTCCTGTCTTGCCACCTGCTCCCTTCAGCAGTGTATTTCAGTCAGTCTGCTGTACTGCTCCTCACTGTCTCTAGTGAATCCTCTCACCTCCCTATACCTCTGGTCTTTACCCCAGTTCTTGAATGCATAAATAAATAAATCTTTTAAAAAATAGCAAAATATATTGGAAGGAAACTCTAGGATATAAAATTGAGCTGCTGGTTTGGAAATTGGTGTCCTCTCTGTGCAAATGACTTTATCCAGAGCTGAACGGGGTATATATATGGGTTAACAACTTTCATAAGGGTAAAATTTAAAATGAGAATGTACTGCGTAGTGAGAAGTTGCACCTTTGTTAGAACTTAGTCATCAAATAACTTTAACAAACTGCTTATGTAAGAATATTCCTACAGGAGCAGGCAGGTCAGACTACAGACTCTCTTTAAGAAGCTGCCAAAACATCTTGTACTCAAATGATAAGGGCCCTGTGTGTTCTCTGGGGCCAAGCTTGGAAATATGTAAAAGGATTTTGGCAGGCAAAGGAGAAACTGATATCTTCATAAAACACATTAAAAAGAAGACATTCTCCAGGGATTTTCTTGCAACTGCCATTACAGCTACATTTGTCCCTCCCCAAAGAGCCCACTTTGATAAAGTTCATTAACCAAAGTGAATGTCAGGGAATGGATAATTGTATATCCATGAGTGAAATGATGATTATCAGTCAAATTGAATTTTACATCCATTAGCCAATGGTATTCAGTTTTCCTACTGGGATGGCAAAAGGTTTCAATTTTCTGATTTGGTGATGTTGTCTCTGTGACTCTGCCCCCAGAGGGGCAGCTCCTGTGATGGCTGGAGCCACAAACATCACTGACCCCACTGGGGCCATCTTAAGTTGGGTGAACATTTCCATAGACACAATCAAATGGTTGTATTTTTGGCACCATTAGAAATAAACCCGAGCGTAGAAAGGCTGAATATACAAAAGGATAATGACCTCACCGTATATAAAAATAGAACTTTCACTCATAATTTGCAGAGACCTGACCAACAAACCAGCCCAATAAGCACAAGGAGTACACCTGATGTAAGTCAGACTTGGCTGAAGTTAGATGGTCCTCTCTAACGACAATCCAGGAAGCCAGACAATAATTTTTGTAACAATTGGCACCAAATGGCCAGGACTAGATTCATAACTGACAGTTTCCCTAATTTTTGTCCCAACTTCCAACTGAGGAGCAATCAGAGAAAGCATGCATCCCTAACTGATCACACAGGATGCCCCACTTTTTCTAATTAGCCCGCCCATACTCCCCAGGCCAACAGCCTCCCCTCAAGGTATACCTGAGCCTCCCTCTTTTCCACTGTAAAGTTTTCCCACCTCCCTACCTGCATTTGTGTCTCTGCCACAACAAAAGTGATAGTGACTCCTGTACTACTATATGGTAAGTACAGAGTAGTTTTTTTCTTCTCATTTGGTTGGTATATGTACTGTTGTATACATACATACATTGTATACATTGTTGTATACATTGTATACATTGGCTGTAAGCCAATTGGTTTTCAAATCATCTATTATTCACTGAAGAAACATTTACTAAAAGCTTTGATATGGGCCACATTCCTTGCTAGGCACAGAGGCAAAGGAAAGATATGACAGAGTCCCTAACCCCGCGGACAGTAACTTGACAACTAAGAGAAACGTGAATGGCCTAGCAACCAAGTTAATGGGTCTCACTGTGTTGGGGTAGTGTTTTCTAAAAAGGGCATTCTGACTTCTCATTACACAACTCCCAGGAAGTTATAAATGGCTGAGCATTTTTTCTTTAACAGTTATAAATTTGAATGCAGATTAGAAAAAGGACTTCAAATCCAGCAAGCCTATGATTTCAGATATTATTGCTGTCTTAGAGATGTCTATCAGTCAAGCAACCAAATATAACAGAGAAATTCATTACCAAAAAACTGTTATTTGGTTTTAAAGAACTGAAAAGGCAGAGAGAGAACATTTACGATATCATACAGGAAGCTGCCACTCCTAGTTAGGCAAGAGGTTGCAATTGTTCAGTTTTAGCAGCTCTAGACCTCTGATAAGGTGCTGCTCAGTTAACACCAAAGTCTCTGAGCTGAGTGGGGATCCTTGTGGGCCAGGGTGTGGGGCAGATTTCTGAGGGAGTACCTAGTCCTATCAATGACTATTACTGGAACACCAGCCTCTGCTGGGGTGAAGAGGTGTGTTAGGAGTGACAAAGGAACTGGAAGCAGATGGAAAGGACAAAGCCCCTCTTTCCTCCTCCAGTCTTGCTGTTTCCCGTGGGTCCTCCATGGGCCGACCCCAAAAAGGCGTCAGCTGGAAGGAGAAATGGGATTTGTTTAGTTCTAGGGCAACTGAGTCTAGATGGGTGAGACTAACGCTGAAAAACAATGGGTTAATATCTGCTACAGTCCACCCCTTGGGCCCTTTAGCATCTACACACTCTTCTAATCATGATTAAACTTCCACAAGAAAAGCAACTCCTTATTCCAACTTAGCAAACTGCAGACATCCTTTGTACAAAAGATGCTCTCACTCTTGAAAATGAGGAGTCACAGTCCCAGTAGATATTGCATCGGTTTCTGGGGGACATTTACACTATGAATCCGACCTCCTGATTATTTTAATTACATCTGGAATTGAGACACAGACCCACCTGACCTTTATTATCTCAAGACTAAACAGCAAAGTCAACCCTCCAAAAACCACCTATAACTAATAAAGATAGAAATTAGTACACACACACTGAGGAAGTAAATATGTGTAGTTTCTTTCTATAATTGGTCACAAGAAGTAGTTAATAAACTTCATTCCTCCCCAAAAGAAAAATATCAGATGGTTTCACTTATAGGGAGAACACAGGGAAACCATACAAAGGATCAGGGGGAAAAAAGACAAAATTAGCAGTCAAACTATAAATCAGAGACATTCAACAGGAGAGAGGGAGATGAAAACAGGGGAGGGAAGAGCACAAGAGACTAGGGTGACGTTTCACGGGTGTCTTGATGATGATAATTTTTTTTAAAAAAATATTTATTTATACAAGCACTGGGTACAATCAGAAGTGCGGGAGGGTGAGAGAACTCACCAGAGCCAGAGCGGGCAACAGAATAGGCAGACTGACGAAATACACTGCTGAGGGGAGCAGCGGGTGTGGCAGGAGAGGTCTGTTGCACCATGCGGGACCCTCGCTGGTGGCCGGGGATCCAACCAGCGCTGCAGAGGCTGCGGGCAGCCTCGCAGCCCAGCGCTCAACCGCTGCGCCACCAGGGAAGGCCCCTTGGTGGTGATAATTTTATGGGGATTACACCTGAGAGGAGAAATCAAATATTGTACAAAAATGAACATTGATGTAAAAGATGTGTAAATAAAAATAGGCACACTTCATTCTTCCCCTATACATTCTGTTTCCTTTCCTCAGCTAGAATCTCAGCTGCCAGCGTTTGCATATGGTAGGGGGACACCAAAACTTCATTGCCTCAATGGTTGAAATCATTCCTGTCTCTTAGATGTGGCTGCAGTTTTTCATTAAAATTTGTTATGGGAAAGAGAAGTATTAAAAGATGCCCTAGAGAATGTCCTTGGTTCCAGGTCTCCATCACCATACACGAACACCACAAATACTCCTTTGTCCACAAGGTCACATTCACCAGCCAGGAGACTTAAACTCCGGGCCTAAGTTGAGTGGTGAAATGACTAGTCTTCATGGAACCACTATTGTGTTCCCTGGTGGGAGCACTCTTCCTTTATCAAAACTGAGTGTCAGGACATAAATGATTGAGCAGGTTACTGGGTCTAACAGAGAGAGGAGTCACTCTTTCCACCTCTGGTTGATTCTATACCATACGCTCTATGATGACAGCAACAGTTCTTTGATGATCAGTGACTCAAAGCATTAATCAGTTTGTAAGATGCAGTGCTGTATCCCATGGAGGGCCAGCACCAAGTCTTCCGTATTATTCTACCATTCTACTCTATCTGCAGTTCCCGGGTGATGGGTTGTGTACTAAGACAAGTGAATTCCAGAGACAGAAGCCCAATACTCACTTCTTTTACCATAAAATGGGACCCATCTATTAGAAGTAATGCTGTGTAGATTATCATGAGATTGAATAAAACATTAAATAACTCTGTGGATTGTTTTGGTGGCAGTGCACTGGGAATAATTTCCAGCTTCTGTCCCAAGATGTCAAGATCTGGAAGGTACACTGCATCCACCTTCACAATGGTAAGAGCCAGAGGAAATGAAAATTTACAACTTTTTTTTTTTGTAATTCACCAGAGCTGAGATCATGGAGCAATCAAAATCTAAAGCAATTCAAAGACACACACCACTCATTTAGTTGCTAAGAACAAAATGAAATGAAATCAGTATGTCTTAGAAGTTGTCCAGACAAGCCGACAGAACACAGATACACTTAATTCCATGGCTTTCTTACCTTATTTAAAAAAAGGCTCAGAAAGTAGATGGTCTGGTTAGTGGTAAATTCTACTGTGCTGTTCCACAACAAACTGATGATTGTTTCTGACCTAAAACAGCAGTTTTCTATGACCCAACCATACATATCACTATATTCAGTACTAATGACTAGTTTTTTTTCCCCTTGATATTTAAAAGCTCATTTCATTCTTTGTTAAAAGCTGCTGGCAATTGCCCCGGTGGTTTTTTTTTTAATTTTTATATATTTTTTACATCATTCAATTTTGTACAATGTATGCTTCCTCTTATCAGTTATAGTCCCTGTGAAATTCCCACCACCAATTCACCTGTGTACCATCACCATAGTCCCTTGTTGGATCCTACTCCCTTCTCCACCCTCCCCGCCCCCCCCCTCCGAATGTCTCTGGTTTATAGCTGCCTGTTGATTTTGATTTTTACTTTATTATAATTACTATTTTTTTCTTGATCCCCTATTTGGGCCTTCTACATTCCTCTTATAAGTGAAACCATCTGGTATTTTTCTTTCTTTTTCTGTAAATGCCTGGTTTTTAAAAGTTACTACTTGGACAAAAGTTCAGATATTGAGTTAAGCTAATATTTTCATTTGGAAAACATAACAGAATAGAAAATACTTATGAAAACAGATATTTATTATAGAATTTTTTTTTTAAAGGTTTTAAACAAAAACCTGTAATTCCAAAAACTAACAATGACTTGTAGCAGATAAATATTTCAGTCTGGAGAGGCGTGTTTGTTCTGCATGAGTTTACATATAATAAATTCTCATGACTGATTCTAAAATATATGTATGAATTGGCTTCACATGATTAATAATTTAAGTGAAATATAAACAGGGGAATTTAAACATTTGTATTCTGAGTCAATTCAAGGTCAGTGATTGTTCTGAAAAAATCTGAGGTCAAAAAATCTTCAGGAAACAAGTATATATCTAAGACAATTTGAAGATTAAGGGCTAAAATCCCATTCTCAATGAATACTATTAAGCAAAGGATGTATAACATCCATCACACAGCTGTTTCAAAAACAGCATGTTTCTAACACACATTTACAAATAAATGTTACATATTAAAAACTATAGAGACACCACCAGAATGAATTCTAAAATATGCAGCAAAATTTTCACAAGGCATCCCTGAGCCGTATCTTAAGGCACACATTTTAATCTTGGGGTTTTAAGAACATCTTCTTTGCTTTAATGGGTTTTATGTCTCCATTTTCATCTTCTTCATAATTGGCCCGGTCTCTCTTTTTGGCAAACTTTTTTCCAATTGTCCCCACCAATGTCTCATACCTGTTAAGATGATACACAACACAAGTTTACTTTTAAATGGTAAGAATCAAGTACTGTCAAAGATATCAAACCAAGTATGCAACAAAGAATAAGAAAAATCAGAATACGATTAAAAGAAACCATCTAATTAAAAACTTTATGAACGTCTCCTAAGAAAGCTTAAATTCCCCAATGTTTTTTGTGTTTTCCCACTGTCCTAGAGATATGCTTTCAAATGTGTATTGGAAGTAGCACTGGAAATTAACCTGCCATCACCTGCCTGTGACCAAGGTATGAATCCTTGTTACTTAGCCATGTTAGAGAAAGCAGTAATCTTCCTGTTGGGGTAGACCACAGGTGAGATGGGCAGGTGAGAACCAGTGACTGCTGGGCCCAGATCACAAAGCTGTTCCAAGGGGACAGTTACCTTCTAGCCATTTCTTCATCTGACACATCTAGCTCCACTGTTTCATCTTCAACTTCCTCTGGTTTGTTCTTAGCATTCATCTGAAGCATTAATTTCTGAAAAATACAACAAAGCTGTCTATCAGAGCTGGGAAAGGCTTGTGAAGGGAACTTGTGTCAAACGTATTTGATAGAGAAACACAAATCACAGAAGCTACAGGACTTGCCAAAATTTGTAAGGGGTTCTATATAACAGAACAGTATTTCACAAGTGCTAAGGTAAGTCAACTTTGATTTTTAAGATAAAACAAAGTCCCACTAGATTAGATTTACTGTTTGTGAATTTAAATGGTATTTTAGATCTAAATTTTATTATTAGTTACTTACATATAAAGCAGGCATGCTGCTAACACTGGAGGAGGGGAGGGAGAGAAAAAGTTAACTCTTAAATTTCCCCAAAACTTCCTATCTTTGCACCAAATGGAAGAAGTACTACAGTCAAAAGTAATTTTAAATGCATTTTGTTTCAATTGGGGGGGGGGGGGGAGGGATAGAAATTGCTAGATGGAAGATCTGGAACATTGGTCCTGAGGGGAAGGAGAAGGATTTGCATCACTGAGCCCCCAAGCACAAGGGGAATAATGCAGCCCCATGATGTCCATGTGCCAGGGTTCTCGCCTCCATCTCCTTTCCTCACATGAACTGTTTCTGACACTCTCGACTGGTTCTTTTCAAGCTGTACAATACCTTCTTTGTAACAAGGACAGGATGAAGAAGGGAAAGCAGAATAGAAAGTAGTCTCAGCTAGCTTTTCCAGTGTTTGAGGGACTGAAAATAAAATCATTTGAGGAATACAAGCTCTATGAGGGAGCAGACTGATTCCCAGTGACTCAGGGCTGATGCACCAGAGGACAGAATGTTTACTGAGTAAATAAACTCTATTACAGATGTCACTAGACATGCATACAATATTAAATATATTTTCTAAGTACAATCCTCTTGTAATAAAGTGCTCTTAAGTTGGTATCATCACGAGTCATATAGAACTGCTCTCATATTTGATGACCGCGCAGATCTAGAAGCCAAATAGTACGAAGCCTTTTCCAAAGAAAATGTCTTCAGTGTTAAAGAGTGCAGTAGTAGAAGCCATATTCTAATAACTTCCACATAACATTCCAAGAGCCAGGTCAACTCCTTTCCCCCACCTGCCAGACATACTCAAGGGCGCTCACCTCCCCACAATCATAGTTTTTTGGCATTGCAAACTCCATCATCTGTGCTTTCTCCCCACCCTTACCCCCTCACTCCACTATCCTCTTTCTCTGTCCAATTTAAAATTTTAAGAAGGCCAAAGCCAGGAAATTATGTACTAAAAACAAACACAGTGATGACACTGTGTAAAGTACACAAAACACCTTAATTATATATCCCTTCAGAATAGGGAAAAAAAGAAAACCAACATGTGATTGTTAAATGAACTCTGGCAACTAGCTTGGTTAACTGTGGTTCTCTATAGGCATCTGTAGAGAAGTTGGTTTTCAACCAGGGAGCCTTTGGAAATATCTGAAGACATTAATTGCTACAACGGTGTTTGTGTGAGTGTATGTACACATACTTGCAGGCGTGTGTGTATACTACTAGTGTCTAGTGAATATGGCATGGAGGCGAGGGAGGCTGCAAATATCCTGCAATCCACAGGACAGACTCCACCACAAAAACTGACCTGGTTTCAAATGCCAGTAGTGCCAGGGTTGGGAAATCCTGGCTTCAAGTGAGTTATAAAACTAAAGCTTTATATTACAAATCTCCATTTGGTCTGTCAAGTACATGATAGGATGACTTTTAATATATGAGCCAGAGTTTGAGTAAATATTTGCCAAGTGTAGGCCTATGCTTCTCCACAAACTTGAGACAGGAAAATTCAAATGAATGGCTCATTTATAAGGAGAATATTTACTTTTCAAACAAACTTTGCAAAGGCTTCATTTAAAAACCTATTTACAAGCTTGAATTAAAACCTGTCCATTAAAAAGTCAAATTACTCAATTTTTAAGTTCTCATTTTTCCATTAGAAGAGATATATTTATAGATGCCAGAAAATAATTTTTCATAATAGCATCATATGAATAAAATCTTGACATTCCTATAAAAGACATGAGCTGAAATTCTAACACTTACAGTGGCACTGTCAGGGACTGTATATTGCTAAATTATCTACTCAATTCTACCATGAAACTAGACTGCAGTGCCTGCAATTTCTTTAAATAGCTATGGCAATATTTCGAGACTTGTTATTTTCCTTATAATGAGGAGACTGGTACTTGATGGGGAAAAATCTAAATCCAATTATTAGCAGAAAGAATTCAATTGGAAAATTTTAAAATCTGAAGCAATTATATTTAATACCTCAACCTCAGGATTGAATCCTCTGAATGACATTCTTCCATAGAGAAGATCTTCACACAACAAGAAACTTTGCTCTTCTATTATGAAACTCCTAAATGGGAAAATAAACCTGTATTAATAGCATATCTACTTATAATAAAACACAGATTTCAAATGAAAAATCAATTTTATGCTTCTCAAATACAGTAAGATTTCTAATCTAGGGTTAGAAATAAAAATGGATTAATTGGGCTGGCAAAGGCCTGAGAACAAGAGCTGCAGAGTGGAGGTACAACATCTTCTAAACACATTTAATTTGCACATAACTTCATAGAGACCTGAAGTATTTATAGTATACCTGAATTTTCCAAATTTGAAGCAGTTTCCTTGACATTTACTCCCCTCATCAACTTCTTGATAAAACCCCAGAAGTCAGAGTCCTGAGCAGCTTTTAAGAGTATACTAGTTGGTGCTCTTAGCCAAGCAGGATGGAATTTAATGTGAGGATACTGGGGTATGTCACAGGATTACTGGGAAAGCTAGATCAGTGGAACAAAAAATGGGCAGAAATCTTTCCTGTTGCCCCAGAAACAGGATGCAGGTGTGGATAACTCCATCAACAAAAGGGAGTCAAGGTGTTGGGCTTCCCCAGCACTGTTCTCCTCAGCAGTCAGCAGAGGTTTGTTTCTGATGCTGCTATTGACCTCAGAGGGACACAGAAAATTCTATTAGGGAGGTAACACTATCAGTTCCAAGTTCCCAGAAATGCAGCTGGAGCCAGTTAATGGTTAATCATGAAAGGAGGGTACAATTCAGTGAATTAACAGTTACTCCAAAGAGGGAATGCAATTCGGTGGTTAGTGTTTAATGCCACTTGTTTCTAAATTTTTAGTTCAGGGGAGTTTTTATGTTGCTTCAAAACCATGATGATATTAATGAATGATTGATACCATATAATGAAATGAGTAACACTTGGAAAAGCTATACAACTCATTAACGTAGTATTTTCCAAGTGAGAAATGCAAGACATTATGAACTCACGCATGGATAAGAGATCTATTTATCCAAAGTATAAAACAGAACAATGATTAAGAAAAGTTCACTCATGTTTTCAGATTCTACACTGCAACAAAACCTTACGAAACTACTATTTACTGAGTTTTGGAGTAGTATCAAGAATTATCATCTCAGGGACCTCCCCAGTGGCGCAAGGGGTTAAGCACAGCACTATGAAGCTATCTGAAGCCTCTGCAGCACGAGTTCGACCCCCAGCTAGCCAGGGAGCTATCCACATGGCACAGGAGACCTCTCCTGTCTCGCCTGCTGCTCCCCTCAGCAGTGTATTTCGGTCAGTCTGCCTGTTCTGTTCCCCACTCTGTCTCTGGTGAATTCTCCCTGCATCTCTCGCCTGTACCCCAGTTCTTGTAGGAGACATCAAGTGCTTAGTCAGTTCCCAACACACACTATCAACTAAATAAATGTTAGATGAGATGACTGGTATCATACGTAGTGAAAACTAAAACCATAAAATTCTTGACCTTGTTGCATAAGGATGATCGAGAGGTGACCTGAGGACGGCAAGGGAAAGGGCTGGCAGAAACGCTGAGAAAACTCGCATGTGCCAGGGTGGAAAACCACCTGGAAGGGATGCCCCGAACTTGCTTTGTCCTTGGAAGTCTCCTTGGTCGTAACTTAGCAACAGAGGCTCACCAGGACAGGCATGTCCGATAAGCCCCAGGGCTCACGTAGGTGGTGTGTATGAGCTTACGTACACGGCTTTCTCCGACTTATGATAAAATGTGGATGTGTCTGTTCATACTTCCTATATAACCATGCTGAGAAAAACAGAGAATCACTGCTTGTAGCTGACAGCAGTCCCCCGTCTGGTGGGTCCTTCGCGATCAGCGTCCCAGGTCTCAGAATCCACTAGAGGCTCACAGACCTGACTTTAGAAGCTCAATTTAATGGAGAACTATATTGAAACAAATTAGAGAGGCGTGAAGTAAATGTCAAATTTTCAGAATTTAGTATTACTGAGAGGATACTGAAGATTCTCCCAGAAGGCCCCTAATTATTAACAGAGACATATGGGCCAGATTCCTTCATTCAATGTAAAAAAAATAAAATAAAAAAGAGCAATGTTACAAATGACAGCCCAGGGCCAGTAAAAATGTATAAATCCTCCAGAAAAAAAATTTGATAGATTTAATAACATTAGAAAACTATTTGTGAGGCTAACTCAAAAAACTGAACAGAGACTATTTTACAGGCTTTGTTACTGGAACAATGAATCACATTTCCAAGGATCTCCTTTTGAATGTACAAAGTATCATCAAATATATCACTAATAAACCTACTCTTTCTCTTTAAGTTCTGGCAAATCCAAGTACCAGTGCTCTTCACTAATGATTTTCTTTTCTTCCTCTTCTAGTTGTTTCTTGGTTTCTGAGTCCAGTCCCCTTTGCATGAACTGCCAAAACAAAATAAAGTCAGTGTCAGCAACTCATTTTTCCACTTAGAGGAGAAGTCAAATAACTTTATTCTTACTCTTGCTCCCATGCATTTCTCCAGGAATTCCAAAGGGGGTAGTGATTCAAGATGGGGGAGGGGTAACCAAGCAGCTTAGCTCTGCCCCTGATAACATCACAGTGGACTAGGAGGGAGCCCATCAAAGCACAGAAGAAAGCGCTTCCTTCAGAAGACTTTAAGTCTTCACCATATTTTAGTTTTTCTGATTTAATAAAACAGATAACAAAAAACTATTAAGCATCAAACTCAGTATTTCAGTATTGCACAATGGTCACAGAGGCAAAAGAATGACCCCTACAGGTCAGGACAGGTAGGTAAAGACAGAAGGTGAGAAGGCAAGATTCAACTCCATACTTTCTGAATCTCTCCTGGTCTATGGAGACACCGCTCTTCGCAACTGACGGTCTTGGTTTGGAATAGCCCCTGATATTGGTAAAGCTACTCCACTTCTGTGAAATCATCCCTGACAGTTGCAAGCAAAATAAGCACCTCATCTAGAAACATCCCAAGACACCCTCACATAGTCTCACCACATTTTAATTTCTTGAGCATCTGTCTCCTCTGCAGACAAGCAGGGTAGGGACTATATCTAAATAACCTCCATTAGTAACGGCATGACTGATGCTTAGTAAGAACTTTATAAATGTAGACCAAAGCAAAATGGTATTTACAAGTCTGTTCTTCACTTATGTATCTAGCCTCTGAAATGGTCATCAACTCTGCAACTGCTCTTTTTTCTCAAATTGACTAAGCAAATTCAAAACAGCCTATAGAGAAATCAGCTGTTTTGCTGCTAGTCTCTCCCTAGCACAAATAATGTTTCTATTTCCTCAGGAGTTAATCAAAATGGTAAGTAACTTACAGCAAAATGGTAACTTACAGCAAAATGGTAAGTATCAATGCCAGAAAACTAATTCAGGACACAAACAGGAGCCTCCAAGCTCTCAGGTCTAGGGTTCTACTGGTTGCTATTTAGCCACATTTTGTTCTCTTATCAGTCTGCCTATTATTTTACCTCTATTACAGTGTTTCCAAAAACACAAGCATTTTTAGGCATAAGGGCTTTACCAATGACTAAGTGAAATAACAAATCTTCAAAAGCATCACAAACTGTGAGGATACCATCACATTCTAATGAGGGATGTAAAAATGGTACAGTCTCTGTGGAAAACAGTCTAACCGTTTCTTACTAAAGTGAACATGTACTTACCACATGAACAAGCAACTGTCCTCTTAGGCATTTATCCTAGGGAACTGAAAACTTTCATTCTCCTGAAAACTTACACAGGAATATTCATAGCAGCTTTGCTTGTAATAGCCCCAAATTGGAAACAACCAAGTACTCTTCGAAAGATGAATGATTAAGTATTACGGTACAGTTGCATACATATATATGTAGATCAAAGTCTATGTGCACCCCTTCAAACACACCCCAAATGGTGAAATCTGAGTTAATTTTGTGGGTGTACCATGGTCAATTTCCTGCCCTGGCACTGCAGAGTGATGTAAGATGCTATCACTGCAGGAGGTGCAGTGAAGGTACACAGGAACTCCATACATTGTTTGCAACTTCCTATGACTCTCATTATTTTAAACAAATGTAAAAGAAAAGAAATGCTTGCAAACTCTAATGTTTTGTACTCCCCATCTTTTCACCTCAGGGTTTATTACCTTCATCTTAGGAAACAATTGGCAGTTATTATACAGGAACTGTACTTCCCCTTCCTTCTGCCTCTGCTATTCAACATCAAGACTGTTTTTCACCCAGCAAAATATTCACTCGTGAAGGCCCAGAGCAGGAGTCTTTTGTTTGGTAAGCTTACCTGACTGCTGTATGGTCTAGCTGGTCCTAGACCTGTTCCCAAAGAGAAAAACCTCACCCCACTTCTAAGACAGCTTTATTAACAGTTGGTTTATTGTTCATTATGTCGCTTCTGAAGGCTGAGGTTCAGATTCTGAATAGCAGACCATGGTCCATGGTCGTCTTGTATTACTGGTACTAGGGCTGTACCTTGTGTACAGAGTTTAATGATTCTCTGAATGTAAGTGAGATGCTAGACATGTCTTATTTTTTCCAAACTCCCTTCCTTGTGTGGGTCTCTTTAAACCCAGATGCATCATCTCACCACTCACATTCTTTAGTGGTAAAATTCACCAAACTTGCCCAAATGCCTTGTTATCTTCTACTTTTATTCAAATAGATGTTTTTTTTTTTTTTTATTTTTGGTTAAAGTATCTATCTACTTACCTATCTATTACACATGTGGAAAAGACAGAACATCTGTGACTATAAATCTAGCAACTCCAGACTTAGGGAGCAATTAAATTCACCTGACTCCATAGCATTTAGGAACACTTTAAAGCTGGTGATTTAATTTTACTCATAAATGAGGACCTAGAGCAAGCATTGCAAACTACAGTCCTCAGGCTGGATGTTTGTTGTTGTAAACAAAGTTTTACTGCAAGAGAGCCATGCTCATTTGGTTTTGGGCTACAATGGCACAGCTGAGTAGTTGCAACAGAGATTATTTGGCCCATGAGCCTAAAATATTTACAGAAAATTTCCCTAACTCCTTGTCCTAGGTGATCAAGAGTTAAAAATCACAAGTAAATATCCTCTGTATACACATTCCATCACACTAACAAATCCTCCACCCACATCCTTTACTTTCTACTTCCCATTAGAATGACCCTCTACTCCTCAAAAGGCAATCAATTCAGATGAGCTCAAGAACATGTGATGACAAAGTGAGAATTAAATCCTCTATCCTCTGATTTCTGCTCTATACTTAGCTCTGGCTGAAGAGCTACACTGGATACTGCAACCTAACACAGCTGCTCCATTCCTTCTCACAAGACACTTCTCTCTCTAAATATACCTACCTATAAAAGAGGGATATGTGTGTGTATACATACATAGACACTTCTGCTATCCCACCACTAAATTCTTATCAACAACTGATGTGCTTAACTGAACTAGAAAATTTGGGTGATATTTTTTCTCCTTTGCGTACAATATAAATAAGTCACCCCAACCATTTAGGTAGGAGTGGATAATTTTTTTAAAGCTAATTTCTTCCTTCCTAATTCTCAGCTGTTGGCCCAAATCACTCAGTTTTCATCTGTGTTATTCCAAAGACTAAATAAAACCACCACTAATTTTTTTTCAATGTCTGCTTTGTCAATTCACTCACTTTCTCTGACATCTACATGATTCAAACTATAAACCAAAAGAAACTGTTCAGTAAAAACTTCATAGTATGCATGAAAGAAGTACTTTGGAAACCTAAGTTACGCTACAGTTTATTCTTTAGTTCCACCATATTCATGTAACTTCTAAGAATTTACATTTCTTTGTAAGTAGTTAGTGACAACCAGTACAGAGCAACTGTCCAACTAGTTATTAGCTGTGTAATTAGTGTTGCCGTGGTTGTAAAAGAGATAATCACTGTACTCATCTCAAAGTTATTAAGTAGATTGCATGTAAACGACTTAAAACAGTGTCTGGGTCATAGCTAAGACTATATTATTATCTAAGTTTTAAAGCTTATTTTCCCTTTTTTATTCTTGTATTCATTGTAGCTACCTTTTTTTTTTTTTTTTTTCACTTTAAAAAGATGTGGTTAAGGGTCTCCCCTGGTGGCGCAGCGGTTGAGCGCTGGGCTGCAAAGCTGCCTGCAGCCTCTGCAGTGCCGGTTTGATCCCCGGCCACCGGTGAGGGTCCCACATGGTGCGCAGACCTCTCCTGCCGCCTGCTGCTCCCCTCAGCAGTGTACTTCCGTCAGTCTGCCTGTTCTGTTCCCCGCTCTGGCTCTGGTGAATTCTCTCACCCTCCCGTGCTTCTGACTGTACCCAGTGCTTGAATGAATGAATGAATGAATGAATGAATGAATGAATGAATAAATAAATCTTTAAAAAAAAATGTGGTAAAGTTGATTCAATCTCAATTCCATCAGTTTTGCTCACAGTTGGGTGACAGTTCACTTTCACCTCAACTGTTATAATTTTCCACCGCCACTAAACCCTCCGCCAGGGCATCAGAACTTCTAGCATGTCTTTATGACTGCAAGCTTGTCCCTTATTGGCTCTTCCTTTGACAAATGTATTCTCCACTGGAGAATTAAAGTAATCTTGAAAAGAAGTACAATTGAAGATACTGTTTCCCGTGCTCAATAGCTCCTCAGTGCTCACAAGAAAAAAAAAAAAATCCTAAATCTGGTTAACACTTCCTGTACGTTGTGAACAGTGGATACTTTTCCAGGGCCATTTCTTGCTAATTGCTTTCCAGACATACGAAATTACCTTTGAATTTTGAATATCTCCTTGTGTGTGTCTGCGTTTTGTCTCCCAGATTTCTGAACTCACTTTCCCCTCAGGTCACGTCGCTATGCCAACAGCCCCACCACCTTTCAGTCTCTACTTAAGAGCCACTTCCCCCACAAACCCAAGTAAGTTTTTGGGGTTCCCAGCTCTTGCTTTAAGCATCACCTCACTAAGTTTGTCTCGCCTACCGAACCACTGGCTTAAGGAGAGAATCTGCTGCATTTATAATCCGGTTATAATTCCCAACGCAGAGCAGGCGTAAATGAATGAATGTGAGAACTGTTCCAGAGGAGCCTCTCTAATAACCCCCCAACTGCCCGCCGCCAGGGCCTCCGCCCCCCTGCCGCCCGGCCCGATTTCCCCACCCTGCGTTCTCGCACCTTCATGCGCAGCAGATTCTTGGACAACCTAGTCTTGCGCTCGGCCGCCATGTTGGCACCAGCCCGGCGCCACCAGCCACGAAGCCGCCGCGCATGCGCGCTGCTGCTTGCGCCGCGCCGACGCCTTACGTAGCGTGCGTCCTCCTGCCACGTGGCCCCGCCCCCGCTTCTCGTGCCTGTTGGAGTCGCAGGCTGTTCGCGCGCTTCGCCTCAGGGAGCGCTCGCCTCCTGAAGAAGCTCTCTGTGAGGGCGAAGCCGCCGACGGGGTGTGAGAGAGGCTTAACGCCGGGGGCCAGGAGACTCCCGAGAGTCCACGCTGAGTCCTGGCCGCCTTCCTCGAGGCCTCTACCGGGTCCCTCAGGCCCCGCATCTGGGAACCCGCTGGCCGTCCATCTCTGAGGTGCGCCGGGCCACCGCCTCGCAGATGCGGTCCTGCCTCTCGGGCTGATTCAGTATCCTGGTGAGGCTTTGACACGGTTGCCACACCTACCATCCTCCTGACCCTTTCGTCCACAGGTTCCTGACTTGGATCGCGACTTCCTAAGTTTCTGGCCTGCTTAACATATAATAGTTCGTTCTGTGTTCACAATAACCCCTTGGGGTGGTGCTTTTCTTATCTCCAGGTTGCAGCTGAGGAAACTGAGGTATTGAGGTTCCTTAACCTGCCCAAAGTCAGAGTGAGGGAGGTGGACACCCCCTCAGGCCGTCTGGCTTTACAAATGCTCTGAAAAACAGTGTTAAATCCACCCATTAAGTGGTAAATCCACCCATTAACTGTTGTGTTAAATCCTCCCACTAAGTGTCCGTACATTTTAACGGAAAAGATCTGCGAAATACGAATAGCAAATGACAGATACCTTTGACAGATGCGAGGGAGATGACTTTTAATTTGTAGAACTGATAGCCTTGAAAAGAGGGTGGTCTCAATGTCCTGCCTGTCACCCAAAGACACCCCATTTGTAGGTGCCACACTTGTGGAAAGACCGAACCTAACAACATTTCAACGGGTAGTTTACATTTTATGTCACATTCTAGTGCTGGGTACCTTACATGTTTTATTTAATTCTCATGAGAACTCTGGAAAATAAATTGTCATCATATAGTTCGGGAACCCGGGACCCGGAGAAGTTAAGGAACTTGTTGGAACTCACAAAGCTAAGAGGTAGAGCTGATATTCAAAAATCTTGATAGAAATATTCCTGCCTTGGAAGGCTTCCTTAGTGGAGTAAATAAAAGCATAATATGGCAATTGGTTGTAGAAATTTGTTCATTCATAACTTAAATGTGACTCGGGGCTACAACAGTGTGTGAAAATATATACTCCCCTTTCCTGGAGCTGGCTTTCTTGTGAGTGCCATGGAAGAGAGAAAGGCTCTGATGGATTGACTTTTAGGGTTAGGTAAGGTGGTCTGGGGTGGCTCTTGTCAGGTGATATGCTAATACTTGAAAGCTGAAAAAAACTTGTATGAAGAGTTGGAAGTAGTGTTATTAGGGAATAACAGCACACATCCTGAAATGGGAACAATATAGAGTTCTTACAAAGTTTATTAAGTGGGAACCAATGAGTTAATCACATATCATAGGTTAATTGCCCCCAATATTCTTTAGCATTTTTCTTCAGACTGTGACTGTATTTGGAAATAGGGCCTTTAAAGAAGTTAAATGAAGGTAGTTCTTCCTCCGATACGCGTGGTGTCCTTACAAGAAGAAATCTGGACACACAACAGAGCATGAAATCAGGAGTACACATGAACAGAGAAGAGGCCATGTGAAGACACAGCAAGAAAGGGGTCATCTGAAAGCCAAGGAGAAAGAGGCCTCAGGAGAAATCAAATCTGGCTACATCTTGATCTTTAATTTGTATTCTCTAGAACTGTAAGAAAATAAAGTTTTGTTACTTAAACCACACAGTCTGTACTGTTTTGTTATGGTAATCCTAGTAAACTAATACACTATGTAATTTTAACTGTACATCACAGATGTAATAAGAACCTTGTAAGAAATGTACTGGGGTGGGGGGGTCAGAGAGGGTATAGTTGAGATCTGAAAGGGGATGAGTTAGCCTAGGGAAAAAACATTCAGTCATTCAGTTTTGTCCCACCTTTACTATTATGCATCCACAAAATACTTCATCTTGCAGAACTGAAATTGAAACAACTTTCCACTGCTTCCTCTCCCAACTTCTGGCAACTATTCTACTTTGTCTCTATGAGCTTGATTCCTATTCTGGATTTTGAAAGAAGTTCTGTGAGAGAGAAATGCCTCAGTCTACCATATGCATCCAGGAAGTAAAGGTGACTATGGATTAGATCCTAAAGGATGAGCATGTCATGTCAGCTTAAGAGGAACACTATACCTGGCAGAGATAAGGGCATAAGTACTACAACTAAATGCTATAATCTCATCACTTTTCCAATGGACCACCTTTACTAGTCCACTTGTACATTGGATTCTGACTATAGTTTTCTGGAAACATTAAATGCATCCTGTTACTCTTCTACTCCAATGTCTGAAATAATTTATTGTCTATGAGATAAAGGTCAAATTCTTTAACCTACCTCTCTGAGTTCTGTATTTCTATTTGACGATGAGTATGCTTGCAATTAACGGTAATCACTAAAGTTTCCTCCCACCTATCAAAATGTAATAGATGAGAAGTGACTTAAGAATAATAGTGTAATTTTAACTTTGAATTAAACTCCCTGACAGAGTGTGCTGTAAATATAAAGCAGTACATTTCAAAGACTGAGTGGAAAAATATTTTAATATTTTTTCATATTGTCTAAATGTTGAAATAATAGCTTGGATATATTGATTTAAATCAAGCCTAACATTAAAATTAATTAGATCTTTTTTTAATAAGGCTGCTAGAAAATTCAAAATTACATTATGATATGCATTCCTCCCCTTTTTTATTTCCTGTGTTTTTGTTTAATAAGTATCAGCAATTGATAATGGCCTGCTAAGTGGGGATTTATTAGAAGGATACTGGGTAGTTCATAGAAGTAACGAGAAAGCCTGTGAAATTAAAACCAAGTTGAAAGGACACAGCAGGTGTAGTCCCCTTAGTTCTCCTACCACCATAGCATATCTGTGATCTGTCACCACAGTTCTTTCCCTTCCCTGTTTTGACCTCTCTCCCACCCTGCTGGTTACCTGAGATCTATTGTCAGTTTGCTAGTTTTGTCTTTCACCTGACACTTTGTTTAGTTTCTCTATATCCCACATGTAAGTGACACCATCGGATATTTTTATTTTAAAGATTACACACAAGATGCACACAAGAACTGGGGTACAGGTCAGAGGTGTGGGGCCGGGGGATGAGAGGATTCACCAGAGACAGAGTGGGGAACAGAACAGGCAGATTGAAATACACTGCTGAGGGGAGCAGCAGTCAGGAGAGGTCAGGAGTCAGGTGAGTCAGGAGAGGTCTGCTGTGCCATGTGGGTAGTTCCCTGGCTGGCCGGGGATTGAACTCGTGGTGCTACAGAGGCTGCGGATAGCTTCACAGTGCTGTGTTTAACCCCTTGCGCCACCAGTGAGGCCCCTGATATTTATCATTAATCTGCTGACATTTCTGGTAGCATAATCCCTTCCAGCTTCATCCATGTTGCCACAAATGGCATGTTTATCTTTTTTGATGGCTGAGTAGTATTTCATTGTGTATATATACCACATCTTCTTGATTCGTTCATCTGTTTGTGGGCAGTTGGGTTGTTTCCATATCTTGGCTATTGCAAATAGTGCTGCTATAAACAGGAGTGCAGGTTTCCTTTCAGATTAGAGTTTTTGCATCCTTTGAGTATATTCCTAGGAGTGGAGTTGCTGGGTCATATGGTAGATCCAAATTTGGTGTTTTGAGGAAACTCCACACAGCTTTCCATTGTGGCTGGACCAGTTTACATTTCCACCAGCACACCCTCCCCAGAATTTGTTGTTTCTTCTTTTTTTTTTAATATGGGCAATTCTCACAAGTGTACAGTAGTAGCTCATTGTGATTTAGATTTGCATCTCCCTGATAATAAGTGATGTTGAACATTTTTTCATGCATTTGTTGGCCATTTGCATTTCTTTTTTGGAGAAGTGTCTTTTTATGCTCCATTTTTTGATTGGGTTATTTGCTTTGTTTTTGTTGTATAAGCTCTTTGTAGATTTTTTCAGTTGTGTGGTGTACAAATAATTCTCTCCCATTCAGGAGACTATCTCTTTATTTTGGTTGCTGTCTTGTGTCTCCGTTTTGGTATGATATAGTCCCCCTGTTTATATTCTCTTTTGTTTTCCTTGTTTCTGGAGATGAGTCCTCAAAGATGTTTCTGAAGTTTATGTCATGGAGTGTTTTGCTTATGTTTTCTTCTGTTTATTTTGTGGCTTCAAGTCTTATATCCAAATCTTTTATCCATTTTGAGTTGATTTTGCATATGGTATAAGATAGTCCAGTTTCATTCTTTTGCATGTGGCAGTTGAGTTTTCCCAACACTATTTATTGAGACTTTCTTCGTTCCAGTGTATATTCTTTGCTCCTTTGTCATAGATTACTTGATTATATATGTGTGGTTTTATTTCTGGGCTTTCAATTTGATTCCATTGGTCTGTGTGACAGTTAAGACTTTGTATACCTGCCTTCTAGCTTTATCCCCTAGTTTTTTTTTAGCTCTGTTTTGTAATGTCTCAATTTACTCTCTAGCCAAACTGCTCTACTCACTATTCCTCCAAACATTCTAGATTTAACCTCCACGTAAATATTCATACTGCCTTATATTTCTGGAATGATGCCTGGAATAATGTTTTCATTTCTTTCAACTTTTCAATTCCTGCCTATCTCTTAGGAGCCAACTCAAATTTCATCTTCTTCTTGTATCACCAAAACCGATTTATTTTTCTGAATGCTAATAGGACTGCTTTATAGTTTCAGTATTTAATTATACCCTACCTTTTATTGTTACCTAACATGTAGATGCAGGAGGGCAGTTCTTAGTTTTACAGGTACCTGCATCTTTCACAGCTTCAAGCAGTTCTTAGTATATCCAATAAATACTTATTGAATGAATAAATAAAACAAAAATGCTCTTTAAAATGGGTGAGAACACATCTTTT